CAGCATCCCGAAGCACAATCAGAAAAGCTTTGGTATCCCCTGGCATAAGTCCTATCGTGCGCAGATTCTGCGGTGAAGAGGGTGTTTTCCCCGCTTTGGCTAGCCATGCCAACTGAACTTCAGTCCAAGACCGCGGCACTCGCGGCTGAGCACTGCACATAGTCCGCGTTGCAACTTCGCTGAGCCTATATGCCACATCCTCACTACTGATCTGCCATTGATGTATGGTCGGGGAGTTCTGCGGCACTGCTTTCCCAACACGAAGGCTACGAAGAGCTCGAATCCACGCATCAGGTTCAAAGACGGCCGGATCAAGAGGTTCAAGATCTACATAAGCCACATCTGTAGCTCGCTGCGCCGCGAAGAGCTTCTGCGCATAGTCAGCCAGCATAGCACACTCCTCCCGAGGGTGCATAAGCGCGCCTTCAGCCGTCCTCAATCTGATGGAGCGTCGTACACTCTTGGGAGCGAGCCACCGAACACACTGAAAGAGCCCTTTGCTATTCCCCGCCGAAGCAGACACCTCCGCAAGATGAAGTGTCTCTAGCAGCTGACGTCGCTTGTTTGCTCGAATCTGAGCCTGTAGCTCCCTTCTGCGCTTTTGCAGCTGCAGTACCATCCGCATCCGAACGAAAATATCACGCATGGTGAGAGCAGTGTGTTTTGCAAGCAGCCGCCTAGCCTCCCAAAATTGAAGGATTTCCCCCTCCACACCCACAATCCCTGGCCTAACCAGTGGTGGCACAGAGGGAACAACAACCTGCTTCACTTCCCCTCGCAAAGATGCTATGGCCTGGTCTTCGTCTCGCCCAGCAGCAGCAGCGGCCTTGGCGTGGTGTTTGATAGCGACTTGGCGAGGTTGCTTCCAGGGCTGCCATCTCAGTGGAATCGTAGCGCGAAGCATCCGGTGCCCTGACGACCTCCATCCAGCAATGGGCGCATGCAGAGGGTGACATAACTTCGCTTTCTCATCAGCCAATGCTGAGCGAACCAGAATCCAATCGATCTGCGAGGACCCCGATGGATGGCTATACGTGCACTGCTTTTTGGACCAGGAATTTAGCGCCGCCAACCTATGCGACACCAGCATCCCAGTCAGCCACCTGCGCTCCTCCACCACTGTCGGTCTAGCCGGATTGTGAACAACGCTGTGACCTACATACGGGCTTGAAGTGCACAAGTTGGAGTTAAAGTCCCCTGCAACAACAACCGACGATCGTATAGGCATAGTTCGCAAAAGCTCATCGAGCTTATTCCACAACTGCTTGCGCTTCTTCATCGTGGATTCCAGGGCAGCAGAATCAAACGGTAAAGCGTGCTGATAAATGCAGATGACATCCATATGTTGCTCCTGAGCAAAGCACCTGACATGAAGAAGCCTACCAGCATGAACTTCCTGCCACCGCAAAGAGTTGCGTTCGCAGAAGCCATCCCTGAATCCCAGCAGGACTCCTCCCTGATTTGCCCTGGTCGAGGCACTATGAACGAAAGTCCAGCCATCGGCAACCCATTCATTCTGAAACGCACGATGCGTCTCCTGCAAGCAGACGATCTGAATCTCCCTGTGTGCACTCAAATACAACTTCAGCTCCTCAAAGAGAAGCTGCGTCAGGCCGCTGCAATTCCACGAAAGGATCTGCACTCGCTGTTGCTTAGCCGAAACAGGAATTGATGATTTGGATGGATGAAACTCTGGATCATGACTGATCTTCTTCCCTTTGTACGAAGAGTCTTTGCCAGTCTGGGCCCTGCGTATTGCCCTGCGAAGCGAGCGCTTCTTTACCCTACTAACACAAACACTGGTGGTCCTAAAGGAGCCGACATTCAATCCCCTTCTCTTTGCCGAAGCTTCAGGCGGTCCGAAGGGAGAGCCGCCAACCCTCACGCCAAGAGACACAGTTGCAGCGGAGTCACATTCTGCAGTACGCGTCTCTTCCCGGACTTGGGACCGGGCCGAGCAAGCCCCTCCAATCAAAGTTGTAAAGTGCAGTGGATGAAACAATGAAGACTCCGCATTCAAGAAGGAGCCCTGTTGCTTGGAGGTTCCAAGGATCGGGGTCGTGGCCAGACCAGAAGACAGCTGCACACCCATCAGAGGTTGTCTTGCTGAGTGCAGAAAGCACGCAGCAACTCAGGATAGTTGACAGCGCAAAAGGCCGCGATCTGAAGCTTGCAGTCCTCTGGAAACCAATCCACTACGTTCCGTATTATGATGTCAGCAGCTTCGTCAGCCCAGTATGCCCGCAGCAGTTGAATGATGTATCGCTGGGTGCCTACTGATGTTTGCCAATACAGAAAGTGATCCAGAAGGACGTCTTCAGCAGCCGCGCTGAGGTGTGCAGCAACTGTGATTCCCGCGCCGGCCATGCGACCCTCCGCGCGTCTGAGCCGCTCGTGGCGCTTACTACTACTACTACTACTACTACTACTACTACTACTCCTGCTGCTGCTACTACTACTACTACTTCTACTTCTACTTCTACTACTACTTCTACTACTTCTGCTTCTACTTCTTCTGCTACTACTACTACCACTACTATTACTACTACCACTACTACTACTACTACAACTACTACTACTACTACCACTACTACCACCACTACTACTACCACCGCCACCACCACCACCACCACCACCACTACCACTACTACTACCACTACTATTACTACTACACTACTACTACTATTTCAATTGAACTCTGTGCGAGCGGGCTCTGCACATAGCGGGCGATTGCCGCGGTGCACGCACTTTGTTGTGAAACTGACTCAGACCCTTGAGACTGATTAGCCCAGGTCAAAAAGAGGGACTTTTGTGAGAGGTCGCGCGGCCTACTTGGCTTCCAGCTGACTGGCAGAGGGCAGCTAGAGTGTTTCGCAGGCAGCAAGTTGTCAAGCTCCATTCCGTGAAGGTGTACCTTCAGGTTGTCAAGAACAGATCTGCATGAGGCATGCTTGCTCGGAGAGGCGCAGCGTGCAAACTAAGGCGGACTCTGACCTGTTTTTGACTACTACTACTACTACTACTACTACTACTACTACTACTACTACTACTAACAACAACAACAACAACTCAACAACAACAACAGCTACTGCTGCTGCTTGCTGCCTCCTAATGCTGCTGCTACTACTACTACTACTACTACTACTACTACTCCTACTCCTACTCCTACTCCTACTCCTACTCCCACTCCCACTCCCACTGCCACTGCCACTGCCACTGCCACTGCCACTGCCACTGCCACTGCCACTGCCACTGCCACTGCCACTGCTGCTGCTGCTGCTGCTACTACTACTACTACTACTACCACCACCACCTGCTAGTGTTGTCATTGCTGCCAGGTTTCCTCCCGCTCTAATTTTCTTGCTGATCCTCCTTCTCCTGCTGCTCCTGGTACTCCTAGCTGCTCCTGCAACCACTACAACTCCTCTTATAGTGCACCTCACTCCTTCGGCACTGCTCTGACGACAACGATGACGGGGACGGCGACCGCTGCTAAGTACTGCAACTGCTGCAGCGCAAGGATAGTGGAAGCCAAAGCTGTACGGTGGTACGAACGTGGAAACAACCAATTCGCTCCTGCCTGCGTCATCCAGCATTGAGACTGCAGGCGACCATTTGGCTTTGCGAGCACATGAACATGCCACGGACGGATGCTTAACCTTTGAGGTTTTGGATCGTCATCTCCGCCGCTGAAGCTTCCACACTCTACACAAATGACCCAATGGACCTATTTTCAGGCAGCCCTTGGGCCAACCAGCTCCCAGCAAGAGCATTGACGCAAACCATCAGGAGGTAGGAACAACGCTAATGACAGGTGCTTCAAGCTCGTGATAAATCTTGGAGGCGCGCGAAAGTCATCTCAACATATCTCGACAGACCACTAAAACCATTCGAGCCAAAGAGTTGTTCAGACAACTCAACTGAGGTACAAGTAGAATATACTCCTTGACAAAATTGTGCTGGGCACTTCTGAGTTCCTGCAGCAAGGAACCGTAATCGGCTTCAAGCTCTTCATCTGTGCGACCAATCACCACAGCAGAAAGCCTTCCGTGATTGAAAAAGCCTAGTTCGGAATCCCACCGCTGCGTGCCAAACTGCTAATCCATGTAATGCGGGAGCTGACACATACATCTGGCAACTTCTGAAGGATTCCCTGTCACGATAAGAAGGTTCCTCGACCCGGCAAGGCCGGGGCAGCTGCCCTCCGTTTAGTGTAGCATTCGCTGCACGAGATGTTTGCTTTTTGTTCAGTGGTGTTTAAGATAACGGGTCGCAGCATGTCTTTGGAAGTGGACACCATTCCTAGCGGCTGCCATCCAGATCCGCACGCTCCTAAACATGACGGGCAAAGCCGAAGATCCGACTTTGTCGGCTCCGCACGAGTGATGAATTCTCCTCCTTGCCGTCTTAGCAAAACAGGAGAGATGACCAGGACAGATGACAGAAGAGGCTGCAAGTTAAGAAAAGCTGTGGCGCACTTGTTTATGGCGCAATTCCTGTCCACCCGTCGGATATGCCATTGTTCAAAAGGTGCAGCTCTTACGGGATCTGATGAGTGACTGCTTTTAGGATCGAGGTCCGTCAGGGGCCAGTTTCTGAAAGGGACCTTACAAACAGACTACTGTTCGAGGGAGGATCTTGGATTGATTTGGGTTGTTTGTCAGCTGGGGGGGATTGGCACAGTTCAGGACGCTTGACTGTAAGCCTTAGAGCGGGTGCGACTTGTTGTTTGCACGTTCCGCCCGTCCGGGATCCGGCTGTGTTTCGGCGAGATGCGACAGTTGAGCTCTGACATCAACTAGGAGCACTCCTGTCTTGACAAGGGTGGTCCATGGCATTGCTTCGCAACGGTTAGCCGTCTGATGCGGTGTCAAGCGGACCCATGTCTTTGCTTCAAAATGACCGTCGGCCCCGACTTGTTCGGGCTTCGACTATATGCGAGACCCATGCATACCCATGCTTCACATTCCGATGCGGCCTTTTCTGTGCACGATCCGCAATCAGAAGGGTCCTTTGCCCTCCAGAACTGCATTGCCACCTTGCCGGAACCTCGGCAAGAAGGATTGTAGAATCGTCGTTTTTGTCTGGAGGCCGTGTTGCTTTCTCAGCAGAGCGCACTCCTTCACTCCAGGGAAGCTGCAGACGCTTGGACCTCTGCACACAGACCACACGGCGATATCACGGTACATCGGAGTCAGAGGGGCAGAGTCACAGTCTGGATGCCCGGCTCCGGCTGTGCCGCGACGTCTGGCCTCCGCCGCCTTGATAAAAGGCACAGCAGCAGCAGCAGTAGCAGTAGCAGTAGCAGTAGCAGTAGCAGTAGCAGTGGCAGTAGTAGTAGTAGTAGTAGTAGTAGTAGTAGTAGTAGTAGTAATAGTAGTAGTAGCAGTAGCAACAGCAGTAGCAGTAACAGCAGTAGAATTGGCAGTAGTGGTAGTAGTAGTAGTAGTAGTACTAGTAGTAATAGTAGTAGTAGTAGTCGTCGTGGTAGTGGTAGTAGTGGTAGTAGTGGTAGTAGTAGTAGTAGTAGCAGTAGCAACAGCAGTAGCAGTGACAGCAGTAGAATTGGCAGTAGTGGCAGTAGTAGTAGTAGTAGTAGTAGTAGTAGTAGTAGTAGTACTAGTAGTAGTAGTAGTAGTAGTAGTCGTCGTGGTAGTGGTAGTAGTGGTAGTAGTAGTAGCAGTAGTCGCAGTAGTAGCCGTAGTAGTAGTAGTAGTAGCAGCAGCAGCAAGAGTAGCCGCAGTAGCGGTACTAACTAGTAGTGGTGGCAGTAGTAGTAGTAGTAGTAGTAGTAGTAGTAGCAGTAGCAGTAGTAGTAAAAGCAGAAGAACTAGAAGTAGCTGTAGTAGTAATAGTAGTAGTAGTAGTAGTAGGAGAAGTCGTAGTAGTAGTAGTAGTAGTAGTAGTCGTAGTCTTAGTCCTAGTAGTTGTCGTAGTAGTAGAAAGTAGTAGTAGTAGTAATAGTAGTAGTAGTAGTAGTAGTTAGTAGTCGTAGTAGTCGTAGTAGTATTAGTAGTAGTAGTAGTAGTAGTAGTAGTAGTAGTAGTAGTAGTTGGCACCCCCCGTACCAACTACACTTGCTCTTAACCATGTTAAGACAACACCCATTTTACTGGGTATTTATGACAATTTCGTCATGTGCGATCATCCTAAGAGGCCTAAAAATCGACTTGTCGAGTTTGCAAACTCGGGCTCTTGATCTTGGACTTGCTTCTGGGGGTGGGTGGGGGGGTGGGGGGGGATGATGACGACAGTGTTACGCGAACACACCCACCAGTATCACCACAAGAGCCGTTTAACTCGGCATTTACGGTACTTTCGTGATGTCAGACTTTGTTACATATTCTGAGCCTCCACTTCTCGACTATGCATATTAAACTTTGCTGTTTCGAACTGTTTGAAAAAAAACTCGAAATTGGGTGGGGGAAAGCTTCTTCGGGGATGATCACGACACTGTTTTGCGGACACCCTGAACACTATTTCCACACTCAAGCGCGCACACACTACACACACCACTTCAAAAACAGACCCTCCTATGCCGAGGTTGGGCGGTAGGGGTGTTGGTGAACCCCTCCCACGTACAGCTGGCATCTTCGTTTTTGATGTTTAGAAGATGTTGCGCTTCAGGTTTTAGAAATGTTAAACCCTTCTTGGCAGCACCTTGGTTTTGCACGGTATTTCCAGCGTTTTCGTACTATCCGACCACCTGCGGTTTAGCAGTTTCTGCCCCGTCGAGCTTGCAACTCCAGCTACTGTCGCAGTTTTGGGGCTTGAGCCCCTGCAACTTCACCGGCTGTGACAGTTAAGGAAACTGAGCCGCTGCAACTTTTGCAGCTGTCACAGATAGGGAGCCTGAGCCCGTGCATCTTCTGCAACTGTCGCAGTTCAGGCGCCTAGCAGCTACCGCTGCCCAGCCCGGATGAACAAGTGTAGTTGGGAGGGTTAATAGTAGTAGTAGTAGTAGTAGTAGTAGTAGTAGTAGTAGTAGTACTAGTACTAGTAGTAGTAGTACTAGTAGTAGTAGTAGTAGTAGTAGGTAGCAGCAGCAGCAGCAGGAGGAGGAGCAGGAGGAGGAGGAGGAGAAGTAGTAGTAGTAGTAATAGTTCTTCTAGTATTAGTGGTGATGGTATTACTACGGTAGTGGTGGCAGCGGCAGTAGCAGCGGCAGTGGTGGTAGCAATAGCAGTCGTTGTTGTAGTCGTAGCAGTCGTAGTAGTCGAAGTAGTCGGAGTAGTCGTAGGAGTCGCGCTGGTGATTATACCTTCCGAAGCCCTCTTCACGCGCACTTTGGAGCATGTTTTACAAGCCTTTCACCTTGGTTTTTACAGGGTTTTTGCGTTTTCGGCCTTCGGATTTGCCGGTGCGCGCAGGGTTTTGTGACTTCGAGGGGTTGGGGTCGGGGGGTGGGGGGAGGGGCTATTTCCGTCAGGTCGACTGCTACAACTTTACGACTCCTACTACTACTACTACTACTACTACTACTACTACTACTACTACTACTACTACTACTACTACTTCTACTGCTGCTACTACTACTACTACTACTACTACTACTAGTACTGTTGTTTCTGTTGCTTCTGCTGCTGCTACAGCTGCTAGTGCGACGGCTACTAGCATTACATCGGATTACTACGCTTACAGGATGACTACGCTTGCTGCTCGTGCTCCTCTTGCTTCTGCTGCTGCTACCGCTATTGATACTGCTACTGCTACTGCTGCTACAGCCAAACTTGGGTTTAGGGTTTAGGGCTTTAGGGAATAATTAAGGGTTCACAGGGCTCCTTGTGCGGGAGTAGGTCTGTACTCCAGCATCGCCCGAATCACTACTGAAGCTTTGAGAGTAAGTTCAAAATAATGCTCCGAAGGCCCTGTACAACGCGATCTGTGTGTCACACTGCCCACTCCTGCAGAAGTTTCCACACAGCGCGTCCCACTGCTGTCACGCTGCAAAAGTTTCCACAGAACGCGTCCAGCCGCTGTCACGTGGTCAAAAGTTTCCACAAAACGCGTCCCACTGCTGTCACGCAATCCAAAGTTTCCAGAAAACGCGTCCCACTGCTGTCACGCGGTTACAAAGTTTCCACAGAACAGAAAACCACAAAAAAAAATCTAAAAATGCTAAGAACACGTTGAAGTCACCAAATGCCACGCCTGCCACGATTTTCGTAAATATCACAAAAACTTCAAATCAAGAAACGGCCCAAATTATTGAAATTGCGTCCGCGTATCTGAGTGAAAACTTCCACTCGTGTGCTTGCTGCGTGCACTTCAAATCATGCAAAAATGACAAATTCCTCGAGTTGTTGAGGGTTCACTGCACATATGTGACCTCATCACGTGCTCAAGGGCCTCCGCGACCTGGTTTTTTACGAGGCGAAATGCTCCTCCAAAATTCAGCTGTTTTGCAATTCCGTTGATGTCTTGTTGTTCTACCGTCGTCGAATGCGCAAATTCCTCGAGTTTTTGACACTTCCTCATGGAGTTCAGTCTATGAACAGAACACACAAAATTCAGTATGTTGGCATCTTCACAGCTTCAAAACACTCTTGTTGGCAGCTGTTCCGAGGCCAAAAACGCGTGTGCGTGCAGAATCGTGGGTTTTTCACACGCAGGCAAATCAATGTAAATATTGTGTTTGTCGTGGTATTTACAATGCAAAACGCTTCTCTGTCCTGCCGCGCGCGCTCGTGAACAAGGCTTCGGAGCGTTATAGTAGTGAAAGCATTTCGCCTTCTCTGGTCATCGCAGGCTTCATTGTCAACCCGTCTGTAAGGAACGGGCCGCCGGGCCCAAGGTTCCTGGCTTAACAGAAACCTACAGTCCTGGATTCATGCATGGTCTGCCACATGCACAACCACTTTTTCGTCGATTGCGGACACCACGGAAGTGAGCTTCGCTCAGTCGTGGGCACCAGTTCTCACTTTGTACCTTGGACGACAAGAGTTAAGCACTATGTGTGCAGTGTGCACTTCACAACGGTTGTGGCTTGTTTTGACCCAGGTGGCGCAACTTGACAGTACAACCGGAACCGCAACCGCACTGCACCACGTCGACAGAGGGTGCGAGAGCTATGGAGGCGAGATCATGATGTTGTCGGCATGCGAGTGGGCCTAGCTTGGAGAACTTATGATGTCTCCTGTACCAAGCCCGGTCTGGAGCAGGCTCAGGCAAGGGGCAAGCAGCTCGGGCGGCGAGTAATTATGGAATGCGCTTGTTGGCGTTACATTCCGTTACATGTATTTTGTAAACAGGCCGAGAAGGTCAGCTGCGTGCGGATCTTGAGGCATAGCATCGGCAGGTCTGTCATGAGTCTGAGCAGCAGGTTGTATGGCAGGATCCCAACAGCAGCGCTGCGACGGTGAGTTTGGCCGAGTCGATCACTGCTGCTTTGCCATACTTACTGCGACCGGACTCGCTCTTCCGAGTACTGCACACTGACCCAACCGGGATACAATTGATGGAACTTGGCCTCTGCCTGCCTGGCTCGCGACATGCCTGTCAGCACCAACGCAGATGCCATTTCTTGCCCAACTTGTGAGTGCGAAGTGGCTGGGACCTCTTTGAACCATGGCGTTCTGCAGGCCGCGCACATCCACTGCTTGACTCCACTGGGCACCCTTGAGCTCAAAGTCGGCGGCATCAGTGGCCGCCTGAAGCAAAGGACCACGGCTGCGCTGACAGGAGGTGATGCGTGCAAAAGAAGGCCGCCTTCGAACTCCAGTAACTCCCATCATGCACTCGCAGCATTGGGCCGACATGGCTCCAGCTGCTGTTTTGGATCGCCTTCACAAGAAGGTCTGTGACGTTCTACACCCAGATCCCAGGCCAAGGCCAAGCAAGACTCCACACCTCGTCGCTGTAAACGATCTGGTGTCCAAGCTGGGGTGGGGGACCAACGAAGTCATGGACAATGGCGATGCCTGCCATCAGCTCGCCGCGCTTGGGCATGACAATGCATGGCATGGGGATTGAAGTCGCAGACGGATAGAGGCTGTTGGGCCTCGATTGTACTGAGGCACCGCCAGCTCCCGCGCATAGCCAACCTGCAAGCCACACGCTGTCACACCACAGGGCCACGGATCAAACAGCGGAAGTTTCTGCAGGGCAACCTCGCGCTGGCCGTAGCTGTACAGCTGATGGGCCTCCGGTAACCTGAGACTGAGAAGTAGAAGATAGTAGAAGCCACAGACGGGGCTGGGATGCTAGACCGTGCTCTGAGTCATCAGCGAGGCAAGAGGAGCAAAGGCACTGCGCCCAGGCGTCGGCCCGCCGTGTGCCAAGCAAGGCACGGCGCTTGGGCCCATGTCGGCCGCCTCGCAGGAAACCAGAGCCAGAGCCTGCCTGGGCCTGCCAGGCTCTGCATGGCCAAAGAATTTCCAAGGGCCTTCTTCTCGACAAGCCGGGGATCTGTAGATGCCTCGACAGCTTTACGAGGTGTTCATGCACCTGCCGCCCTAGAACCGAAGTAACAACAGCGTCCAAGTGCAGCCGGAAGGTCACGAGAAGCTAGACACGACTCCGCAGGATCCGTTGCCGCCGCAGCCATGGATGGTGAACTTTCCAAGGACAAGGCGCAAGGAGATGGAGATCTAGACTGCCCGGGCTGTTTGCAGCTCACACTTCCGTTCCACTTCCTCTTTCGTTTTTTCGAAGTGTCTCTTGGCCAAAGGGAGCTCGCACAGTCACATGTTTGGGCGGTGGCTACACGTGAGAGATGGAGCGAGTCCTAATTCGAAATTAGTCGGAGACGCGATCTCAAGAGAGTTTCCCTTTTCTGCCTCCTGGGAATCCTCGCGGAGCGCAAGCTTTTCAAGCACTTCCAGTGAAACGATCGTGAAACGGAGGCAGGTGACACGTTATTCCTGTGACATGAGTCGTGCTGGTTGAGTCGGGGTTTGGGCTGCGGGGTGAGGTGAGAGTTTGACTGTCCTTCGATGCGGTGTCTCGGCAACACTACGCTTCAGCTGAGGCTGCGTCCGCAAGGGCAGTTTGTCGGAGGGTCTGCTGCTCTTCGAGCTTTCGCTTTAGCTCATCGATCTGCGTCTTGTTGTCGTCGATCTCACGAGTCAGCGCTTGTATATCCGGCTCGGACTTTCCTGTCGGCATAAAACCACCGAGAGCTAGGTCGGTCATAGACGACGTGACATCTTAAGAGAAAGTATCAGAAAAGCACGGAACAGCTACAGCGGTGCTTGCCTGACGCACTGGACTTGCTGGTGCTCTTGAGCTTGGAGACGTGGAGGCGCTGCTGCTGTCGCTCTCGCTTGAGATAGTCTATTTCTCGTCTGAGATTGTTTATCTCAATTATCAACTGAACATTCTCCTGCAGAACTCTGGTGTTATCCTGACGATGGACATCCGAATCTTTGAGCAGCTTCTTCTTCAGATTCTCTACAGACTTTTCCAGGTAATCTCTTTGCCTGTTGTACTCCCTTTGGATATCGCTGTCCAACTCTTGCTTCTTCACGCCGTTGGGGACATACTTCTTGTAAAGCGCCGACACCGACTCTTTCAGCAACCTGGGTTCCTGAATGAACTGCACGCACTCATGCAAGTCAGTCTTGAAGCGCTTGACGACAGTTTGGCAGTCTGTCATCTTCTTGCGCTGAGAGACGATGTCGTCTTGCAGGGTGTTGTGTTTGTTTTTAAGCTGCTGTATGTTGACCTGGAGCTGCGTGTTCTTCTTGTGATAACCTTCAAGGTCCGCATCCATAGCCTGGATCTCCTTCTTCATTGCCGCAATTTTGTCGTTCTTGGGATCAATCTGTGCTTTTAAGTCTCGGATTTTGTAATCCAGCACGAACTTGAATTTTTCTAACTCCTGGTTCTGCTTCTTCAACTCGTAAATCTTTCCTTCTTTGTCTCCGATGGTGGCGTCCCTCTGCCGTATCTGAGCTGCATTCTGGTCGCGCTCCTTGTTGAGGTCCTGAATCTTGGCGTCCTTCTTGCGTGCCTCCTCCATGTACTTGATGAGCTCATCCTCCTTTAAGAGCATCTGGCGCTTTAACTCCTCATGATTTCTCTTGTGGATTCCTGCTTGGCCCCGGAGCCGCACTTTGTCGTCTCTCTCTGCTTTGAGACGGGTCTCTTTGTCTTCTTTGAGCTCCTCTATCTCCCTGTCAGTATCCTGCTCAAGCTGCCGCATCGTCTCTGTGTGGACTTCTTCAGCGAGGCTCTTCTCCTTCAGTATTCTGTCGATTGCATCCCGATCGGCTTTCTGCTTTGCCTTGCACTCGGCTTCCATCTCGTTCACCCTCGCCTTGTGTTCTGCCAGGATGCGATTGTGCTCCTCCTCCCATCTCCGATGGATCTCCTCCCGCTCCGCCGCGAGCTTCCTTGCACATACACAGAAGCCGCGCAGGCACAGGCAAACAGTACATGGTCTACAGACAGAGTGGCGCGCTATGCCGACTAACTAGTTATACCTAGTTACTGGTCCCGTGCGGCGGCCCTTTGCTAGGAAGAGGCCGGTGGTGAGTGGTGTACTGCATCATACTGCATCTGCGCCGCTCCTAGCTCCTGATGCAGCCAAGGAGCTGGTACTTGTCCACCTCAATCATCATCTTGTGCTGGAAAGAGCTTTCCAGTTCCCGGTCCTGCTTGAGGTGGTGCTCCCTCAAACTGCTGAGGTTCTCTTCCTGTTCCATGACTGCGTCGTGGCTTTGCTCCCGGAGGATCTCGTATTTTTGACGCTCTTGGTCAATTTCAGCTGTGTAGCGCTCTTCAAGCGCTACCATCTCTTCCTTGTGGAAGCTCTCGCGGTACCTGGCTCAAAAGCTCAGCTTCGCTTTCCACAAAGGGCTGTGCGGCAGTGCAGGCCGGCCTGAGCTGAAACTCCTGCTGATTCGACAGCTCGTCGACCTTTCGCCTGCGAAGCCGACACGAAACACGCAGGGCAGAACTAAAGGCCTCGCCCTCTCACGACATGTGTCGCCCAGCTCTAGGCAAAGGGCTCGAAGTCCACAAGGTCGGATTGCTTCTCATCCAGGAACGATCGGGTCACCAGGATTTCGTCTGAAGGAGGCAGCGCGCTCTCCTGCGTTGAGGACAAACCGTTTCTGCACATATCTCAGAATTAGTGAACAGCTCAAGAAGCGCGAGCCTTGTCACGTTTGGAAACGTTCCGATCTTTGCGCTTCACATCGAAGACGAACAAAGTTCCATCCTGACAAAAGTCAGCATCTGCATGTGCAAGGGCTGCCTCTACAGTTCCGCAAGCTGGTACTTGCTGCAGGTGCTACATGCGCTACCAAGCTCTGCACTCTGCCGTCGGTTTGTGGCTGCTAGCTTTTCTCGGACAGCTGAGCTTGGACTTCTGCAAAGTCCTCCGCCGTCGAGAACAGATAGTAGTCGTCAAATGTGATGCGGATGCGGGTGGCCGGGGCAGCGTGTGCTGAGAATTCGTTGTAGTAGCCTGGCATCTTAACAAAGCACGCGGTCGCAGCGTGTCCCCGCACTGCCTCTCAGTTTCCTGCTGCAGCGACTCACCAGAGTACTAGATCCTGTAAATCACTGCTAGCAAGGTGCCATCCAAAGGGAATTTATAGCAACGAATCGGGCCGGGAGCATCGGGCTCTGCCACCGCGGCGAACAAACTCTTGGCGGAGTTGGCCAACCTGGGTTCACTGGGGAACGCTCGACTCGGGATGACACCACAGGCTTATTGAAATCGTGAATTGCCATAATGTTGAGGCTAGCCACACAATTTGGCCCAAAGTTGTATTGGCTTTGACCACATTCTGCGTCGTGCCCTGAAAAACCTCTCTCAGCATTTGATCGCTGCCGACGACATACCTTGGCAGACCAAAGTTCACATAATCTGGACCTCTTCGTGTCCCAAACATGGTATCGTCACACTGCGACTTTCGCTCAGCATCAAGACCCCTTCCCGCACAAGGTCAGATATAACAAAGCCGTGAAACCTACAGGACTCCATCCGGCGGACTAGCAATAGGAGCCGCACGGGAGAAGCATCCAGCTAAAGCCGAACACCGCAAGGGAACACTTACGTCAACGAAGTCTCACGGCCAGTAGAAGTGGGAAAGGCAAACTTCGTCAAACAAGATACATCGTGTTGGCGCCACTTGCTGGGTCCGTATGCACGATGACACTGGAGAAGGACGTGCCCTTCTGCACGAAGTCGTTGCCGACCTCGGTTGTGCGAAAAGAGTCCCTAGTCCTAGTCGAGAACACTAGCCACTAGACAAGGGTGTGGCTCTTTCGTGCAAGTGGCACGTCTTCCTTCGCGGCCAGGGATCGTCTCTGCTTGGACGTAATACTCGTAGACAGCACCATCGGCACCAGTTGATACGAGCATGGAGTCATCCTGCGTCCAGGCAACAGATCGAACCTTGTTGTTGTGGCCACGAAGTGTCTCTATTGGTTCACAAGTGTAGGTCTTGTACACTTGGATGGCATTGGTCGCGTTGGTGTTCACCGCCGCGAAGTACTGGCCACCGTTGCTGAAGCGACATTCTCTGCATTGCTTGATGGGAATGTCTTTGTAGGTTTTCATGTCTGCCATTAATAGGTTCATTAGCCGCAGCTTGTCGGACTGACCGATAAGCAAGTGAAAGCCAGACGGGTGAAAAGCAATGGAATACGCCTCTTCATTAAACCATTTGCAGAGGGCGCATGTCTTTTCCACATAGTTCCAGACCCGTGCCGACTTGTCGACCCCACACGTCACAACCAACGGTTTCCTGATGCAAACATCCATGCCCAAAATGGCACCTCAGACAGCCCACAATGCAATCTAAAGAAGCCTGGGGTTCTTTAGCACTTTTACAGCTAAATTGTCACAGGCACCGGTATGAAAATGTGTCAGGACTGGATCGAAAGCCGGAGATTCGTCTGCCTGCAGCAGGTCCTGGCGCATCCACTAGCCGTCGCTGCAAACAACCGGACTTGCTATACAAAGTTGCGGTCCTGCCCCAACAGTGACAGCTGATAGAGCTGAGATGTTGAAGTGGTCAGAGCTAGTAGCCTGTCTGGTGTCGCACAAGGCACTGCTACCGCAGCTCTGCACATTTGGCTTGAAGACCCGGTGCGTATCCTAAAGACTGGAAATGGAGGAAAGTGCGCCGAGTTGCTCCTCGGAGGGACTCAACGCTAAGCTGCGGACGGCACACGCACCGCCTTCTACCTCGAAGCTAGCAAAATCATGGCAACGGAAGCGACAACGACACACCACAGTGCAAGGACTCGTGCCTGCAGCGTCTTCGTGTTGCGATAAACCTCCTGCCAGAGCCAGGAGCTGCGCACGGAGACGTCTCTACTTCATCACGTCAGAGCGGGCAAAGATTCCGCCTTGGGCTCATCGCTTTTCTCGTAGACCTCGGCCCACGGCGACATCACATCATGCCACGCCCTTGTCCCTGCTTGCTTTCACGGCACGCGAATGCAACCGTCGTCGCCACCAATGACGAAGCCCTGCCAGCTAGCAGCTATCAGTAGCACGATGCTGTGGCCGTGGCCCCTGATGAGGCGTGTTCGTGCCCTTTGCGGCTGTTGATCCTTGCCTTGGAGAAGGAAATGACACAGGTCGCCGCCCTGGGCTCTCCCGGACTTGTGGGCAGCACCAGCTGGAACTCGCCTGAAAAAACGACTAAGATGGTTTCACCCACATCTCCGATCTTCCTTGCCAAACATCCACTTCATGTTATTCCGTAGAGACACCTGCATTGTCAAAGAGCAAGAGATCTCCGTTCTCGCATCCGACCAGCATCTTGTCATCATGCAGCCAGGTGTGACCTCATGAGAAAACTAGACACTCGGCCCTTCTTGATCACGCAGGGATCATTTCTGTGACTTTAGCCACCAGGCTTGGGGTGCAAGTCGGCAAGATGCCGTAGTGGCAGTCACTCGCCAGAGCCCGGGAATGAGTAACCAAACAAAAGCTCACGAGAAAGCACAGCCCGGATTTCCCGCATGCGAGCAAGTCGCACATGAAGCTCTGCAGCTTGGCAGGGGCTACTGGCAGCGTCTTGAAACCGTCCTGACATTTAGCAGTATCACGGTCCACAGCTTGTCTGCGTGACAGCTGATCCCAACCAACTTAGAGTAGAAGCCAGAAAGTTGGAACATCATTATCGGCACCAATCGTCCTAAATCCATGTTCCAACTGTCTGGGAATCACTGTAAGACACCGGGAGGCTGGAAGACTCACGGTCACTTCGGCACAACATAGCTATCTTGAAACGTCAGACCCCGGCAGGGCAGGACCCGACCCATCAGCACCTTCAGCTGCATGAACTTGAAGATGCCATCGCCGATAACCTTTGATGTGATGGACAAGTGGCCCCGTGTCAACCAAGTCGCTGCGCACATGCATGCTGGGTGCTTTCCGGCGGCACAAACGATGGAAGAATCTGTGGGATTGAAAGAGCACTCACGGATGAGTGCATTTTGAGGATTTGACACCTTGATCGATGCCATGTATCTAGATTTGTCCCATGCCCAGTATATCAAAGTCCAGTCGTGCTTCTCGCTCGGAGACTTGCCCGTCTGCGTGAGCAGGTACTTGCTATCGGACGAGAAGGCCACGCAAACGAATTCTGGTGCATCTGATTCTGGCCAGGACAGTGTTTTCCGCTTCCTCAGATGTACGGATAGCTTACACTGAGAATCGGCGAGCAAGCCTCGATCTCATGATGCAAGCGGGACACTTGGCTGTAACCAGATCAAAGATGGTGCAGATCGCCCCTTCGTAGCATTTTTCTGCCACAGCCAGGTAGCGCTTTGTGTTGTTCACCGCCATGCATGTAAGGCCTTCTGCACCCTCATTGCCTGAATTGCAGCGTACTTGGGAGAGGCAGAAAACTCGCTCACAGTCCGTCTACAAACCTTCATGGGCTTCCAACGAGACGCCTTGAAAGATCTTCTGCTGCTTGTTGGCAGCGTCATACGAGACGGCATTGGTGCCTGCAGGATAGATGACCTGCGTCTCCTCCGCGTAGTGAACGTTGTTCTTGACATCAGACCTGGATAGGACGCCAGACACACACTGCACAGCCACCATCCCACAACACAAAAAGAAGCAACGAAGTTGCTCAGTTTCATGCCACGGGGCTTCAAGCCGAAAACGTGTCGATGACTCAAGCTAATTGCCGGCCCTTCAGAAGCTCTCTCCTTCAGCATCCAGCTCACTTAGCAGCACAGCACAGAACCTTCTCGAATCCAACAACACGGTCCTCCGTCATCGGCCCGCTTCAAGCCCCGTGCTTGAGCAAACACGGCTGAAGAGAGCTGTTGGTCCAGAGCCCAAAGTTGAACTCTTTGTCGACAAGCTATGTTCCCAGCAAAGGCATCATGGCAAAGACTGACAACGTGATGCCGGAACCTCTGCAAGCTTCTCGGGGGTGTCCAGGGCACCGGTCAGAAGCCAAGCTGCCTGAGTCGTCCTCGGCATGGTGAAGACAAGCTATCAAAACGACGAAAAACACTCGTGATAATGCTACATGCACGCATGCAATTCTACGCTGCAAGCAAGCCACCTCGATATTGTGTTGACATCCTCCTCGACTGCCTGCGGTATTTGCAGTAGTGGAACACACGGCACCAACAGCCTCCAAAATCTGGAAACGAAGTCAGACCCGCCGCTAATGCTAAGGCACCATATGCCCGCTTCACAGCATGTGGGAGTTCCACGTTAAAAGAAGTTTGTGGCCGGCAGTTTAAAGGGCGAGCATATCCGCTGAGGTACGCAGTTGCTTCTGTGACTCTCTCTGCGGGGCGAGAAAAAGTAAACGACGTCGTGGATGTCCCATGCTTCCTAAGCTGCACGGTTTCTGCTGTGTCAATAGCTATCGTCAGGCGTTGACTGAACACAGCTGGACTACATTCGGTAGCTCAATGGCGGGAAACATCGTTTGCAACCTGTTTGTGCCAGCAGTGAGATGCACTTTTGCCTCTCCCCATGTCCTTCGTGGACGTTTAATTGGCCTGTGTCACTCGCTACAACCTCGGAGCTTGGATTTCACTTGTGTTCTTCTCGCACTTCTGCTGTACCATGGCAGTAGTTTTGTCCTTCGCCGAAACTCGGCTTGCAACCTTCTCGCTGTTTGGTTTCTGGCACGGTCAAGACACACAGAACGTTGTTTCAGTGTCTACACCTGAAGCACATTTCGCGCCGGGGCCTCTGACTGCGTGTTACAACGCCGCAAAGCTTCGCACACATACTATTATAACAAAATCTTCACATTGCTGCACATCTTGGGTCTATCAGCCTACTACAATATAATAACATGCCGTACTCGATCCATCTGGTGAACTTGTCACGGAGACAGCCATGCTGTCACTGCCTTCAGCTCGTCTTCTAGCTCCTTCCGGTATCTCTGCAAGCGGTCCAGACCTTGTGTCAGGGCGAGACAAGTCAAAGATTGCTCTCACGCTGCGGACTTTCCACTGTGCTCGAGGCGCCGCTCCTCAGCGCTGCGAGCCAACGCGAGCTCGCCACCCTTCGTGCAAGGCAGCTGCTGGGACGGCTATAACACTGAGACGATGCTGGACGTCTGGAACAGACGAGCAAGGGAACGGCGGGATAGCGATCGTGACGGCGTCACCACCATGTCACCATCATCATGATCATCATCGTCGTCACAGGTACAGGAAGAACCGGAAGCACAATGCTAATATTGCCTTTGGGCTGATCTCACACGGAGCAGATGGCTGCAGAAGGGGAATGCCATGAAGATTCCGTTCAAGCTGCAAACACAAGTTGTGGAAGGAAGACCGATCGGAAGCTTGTCAATGCTCTTCTGGAGGTGGTCCCGTAGTGTTTGTAGCAAGCATGTCAATTAGCAGGAAGTCCACACCTGCAGTGCAGTATGCAGGGCACATGTGCCGAGCGCAACTCACAGACCCGCGGAGGAAGCAGTCGCACCGGTTGCTGTAGAAAGAGTCTTCATGTTTCCTCGGAGGGCATGTTAGGGTCTTCAACACTGCTCAAGCGGTACACCAATTGGCTGAAGCCGGTCGAGGCTCTGCAAAAAAGATGGGTTTTCATACTCTATCCCTGTGCAACACCACATCCGGGCATGCACCAGTAAATCATGGCCCAGCCGCCATCCATCTACCGTAAACTATCTTTAAGCTCACCCGAAGTCCCGGACCCTGTTGCAGGCTCTTTGAACATCACCATCCCAGCGCCCAGGTCGACTCGGAGTCGAGGCCCGAGCGATTCTGCGCAGCTCATCGGCCGCCCGGGCCATGGCCTCGGCCGGTCAAAGCACATTCGCCAAAGCCAAAGCTCTGGAACTGGCGGTAACTTGCCTCTCTGGGGCGTCGCTAGAGCAAGTCGCAGCTGCAATGACAGACATGACCAGACAAGCCCCTGTGGGCCTGTTCCTGCCAGTGCCTAGGGCCTAGGGTCGCCTCCGGTGGCCTATTTGCACAAACACGTAATTTTTGCATTCAACTTCTATTGAAGCAATTTCGGCTTTGAAAGAAGGCCCAAATTGCTCTGACTGCAGCTACAGCTTCCTTGCCGATGCCGGCAGCTCTAAGTGCGGCGCAGCCTCGTAAGTGGACTGAACGTAGGCGTTCACGGCCCGCTCGCTCGAAGATCCAACCTCCAAACACAATTGAGACCTAAACACTCGCAATGGTTGTGGAATCTTGCGTACAGAAAACCATTAACTGTCACTGCACGCAATGCCATAAGGAATAGCGTGAAGCCTCCAGGAATCCCCTGCAAACGTATGTCGCAAAGGAGTGAACCCAGCAAACGCCAACCTCGAGAGACCAGAAGAAGCCCAACGACCCGAGGCGGCGCATGCCAACAAACGAGCCGGCGGCAAATACTTACAGGTAAAGGGTACAGGCCGGTAAGAACCGAATATATGCAGACGCCGCTGTACGTAAAGGTGTCTCCGTGCAAAACGACCGCAGACGACCGCGTCGCCGTCGCCTACTTGTGAGGGCAGCGCGTGGCGCACGTACACGAACGTCTGACGGGCTAGCTACAACGGAAGCAAGAAGGCCCCGAAAAGCGTGACAAATCTCGTGGATCGCTCATGGATTACGATGTGACAGCACGGCAACACGTCTTAATGCCTACAACCATCTCGAGGCATCCCCGACCCTTACTTGACGTTACTTCCCATCCGGAAATCTCAATACTTGAGATCTGAATTAAGCATGAGACCACACCGGCAGGCACACCAAAACGACACCTACACTTCCCAAGCTCATAGGCCACTGCACAGCAACCAAGACTTGGAAGGTACTGAACACACTCTAAACTTTCCCGGAAGCCACTTGCAAACAGCACCCGGTCACTTCGGATGCCTTGCAAGCCTCCACAGCAGCCGCATATCCTTCCATCATGGTCGTCACCTGCGAAATCAACACAAGCCAAGCCCGCCGAGGCCGCCTGAGACCTAATTAGCCTGGAGCTGTACCCATCCTCCCATCAAGACCAGTATCCCCAGAGCTGCACAACTGGCCCGGCCGCAGCATCCACTCGTCGACGCAAATCAGTCCGCCTCTGGCGTGCCTCGATTAGATTAAAGGTTTGAAAACTTTGCACTCGACCTCAGCTCCCTAGGCTGACGGAAAGCAGCACGACAGCGCCCCATAGCGCGCCTTCGTTCGAGAGGGTGCCTCCTTCGGTTGCTCCGGCTTGAATGCCTGAGGCTCACTCTCAGATCACGACACGACAGCTGGAAGCAGCTCCAAGCCTCCGACATCTGCCATGCGCGAAGCGCTTCGCGCCACCAGCGTATGAGGTTCTCTAACTCTGTCGTCACAGGTGTTTGCTATGCTGCGAGTGAATTTTGAGTTAAAGAATGCCTTGCACCTTGCATGCTAACTCGAACAGACATGGCCAAGGACTGCACATTAAGGGCACGGTTGCTGCAACAAGCTTCCCAAACAGGCCGAGGTCTGAAACTGCACGAACTATAGGCAGGCCTCTTTCCTCATTAATTCCATCAGCGACAAGGCTGTCACATCTTGCAAGTGCTAGACAGACCAGCTGGTTCCCAGCTGGCATTAAAAGTGGCTGGTCAACGTAATGTTGGTGCCGAGGAACTGGTTGACAGGCCTTGCTGCGGTGGTACCTGCAAAGATCTGCAAAGTGCACTCCGATATCCTGATGTCCGGAACCCAACATCCCACCCCTCGCTCACTACCCTTGACCCTTGACTACTCCCTAATCTCGTTCAGCCTGAGGGTGGCAGCAGAACAGGCTTTGGGATTGTCGAGATGGTCTCGTGCTTAGCCCGGGAAGAAGCTGCAATCGATGGTAGACGAAGTGTGTTGCTGCTGGCCGGTCCGTGCAGAGCATTATTCGAAGCGTGCCTTGCGGCACCAGAGCTCTTGCAAAACATCCCGCGTGGAATGCCTGCGGCTAGGAAGTGCGCGCAATTGCTTTGTAATGCCTCACACTTGGACCCCAGCGTTGGCAACGAATATCCGCTGACGGAGACCCTGTTTGCGACGGCGTCTGCTGGAACCTGCCACGTTGTTGCCAGTATATTCGATGTCACCTTGGATATTGGCTAGTGATCACATGTCCGCGGCCACTTGCAATACACCGGTAGCGTTCGAGCAACTATCGCGGTCGCCACTCTGTCGCTTCAACTGCCCTCATTAGGAATTTTGACTCTCGTTCACATCGCATGTTCATGCCTTTCGTAGGTGCTAAATTGCATCAGCAGTCAAATCCTACGCGCGTGTGTAGGATCCCACAGAACACGTGAAGCCGTGAAGCAAGGCTTTGATTGAAGGTCGCAAGCTTTCTCGGCAAAAAATATACCCTAAACCCAAACCTACTAAGCCCTCAAAACTAAAACCCACGCAAATAGTGTGTGTGTGTGTGTGTGTGCATGTATGCATGTATGTGTGTATATATATATATATATGTACACACACATCTTAAGAATCACGCTTATCGTTATTACGATAGTTACTAATGTTAGTTACAACAATAGGCAACAATAACAACGGTCATAATAACACTAATACTAGCAATAGTCGTAGTAATAATCATAACAACAAAACCAATAACAATAACAACAATAATAGTAACAGTCATAATACTGATATGAATGATAATAAGAGCAACTCTGACAACAATAAGAATACGGTTTCTACTATTCATTTTCGTACTTGTAATTAACATTATTCTAGTATCCCAGTACTCAAAATGACTGCAATCATCATGATAACCAAGAGCAAAAAATACCAGCAATACTAGACAGAGTGATAAGAATTACAGTAGTAATACTAGTCATATTACATATTGATGATCTTGTCGCTTGTACTTATTACAACTGTCGAAACAGAAACTTACCTCGGTGGAGTTTTTTTAGACGGACAGACAGACTGCCAGGTCGGCAAGCAGCTTTCGAGTGCCTTTGAATACGCTTAAAGACTCCTGCACTGCACGATTCTGGCATCTGTTTCGTGACCCGCCTCAAACCAGTCTGTGAGTTTCGGAGCAGGTGCCCTTCACCACGAATAGCTCACGGATGGGATCTTGTCAGTTTGGATAAAGCTATCTGACTGAAATGGAACGCTAATAAATGGCAAGCATAGTTTCCGAACACTTGCTGAGGTTTGACCCTGCGTCCCTCCCACATCGCTCCTTTTCGAGCCGCTTCCTGTGCGCTCCCACTGCATGATGATGCCATACAGTTCCAAGGCAAGGCACGGCAAGTCCAGGTTCCGGAGTTGCAAATTCACATGTCTGCACAAATCTGATCAATCCGACAAGTCTGGTCTATCCACAACCAACTAAATCCTGAAAAGCTCATGCTTAGCTGGTCACTACGTGAAGGTGCGATCCACATGGTCATGATGGCCATGGGGCCCAGGAGGCCATGAGGCTACGGCCTTCGCCCTTCGCGCAGAACTACGGATCGAGGAACTCACGGGCAAGGCGCCGAGCCGCAGGGTCCCCTGCTTTCGAAGGCAGGGCGTTGTGACGGAAAAGACACACTGCGTATAGATGAACTGCGTCTGAGGTGCCCAGGTGATGAAAAAGGGGGACTTCCTGCCAAACATGAGTGAGCCGAAAATTCCATGCCAGTTCTGAAACCCGGCCTTGGCCGTATATAATAGCTTGGCGTGAGGCGCGAGGCGTCCACCCGCATAGTGTGCTTCAGCCTCTGCCTGTCGTAGACATTCCGAATATCTGGAACACTTGAATTTCGTCTTTTCCCTACCCAGACAAGTAGCAGGCTTCTATCCGTGAGCTCAACCGATTGACGATCGACATTGTTGATTACACGAAACATGCAGTTCTTTTTGCATTAGTTGTAGAACATGCTGCCGCTTGAATTTCTCTGGTTTGACAGCTTTGAACTAGTTCAATGATTTGGTTTATCGAACTGTTAGCTTCAAAAGACGACTTTCCACAATCTTTCCGCAATGATACAGTACACACATGTACACAAGAAAACACAAGATGTTCTTGCTACGATTGTATGGGAAGAACGATGTTGTTCAATTTAGTTGTTTGGGCGGCAAAAGTCTTCATGCCTCTTGCAGTCCTAGAGTCTTGTGTCAGAAATTGTATGATTGAAAAGGTATACCGATCCAAACCTCAATTCCCACCAACTCCCACCTGGCAAACGAATTATGTGTCAAAACGTACAGTAAACATCATCCTGCTTATGTCGCACTTTCCAATTGGCAAGGCATGATCACATCCTGTTTGTGCGTCAAGGTGCAATTTTACACGCAATACTCTTGTCCACGTTCCAAAGATGTCCAGCTTTAGTCCGCCTGGCTGTCGGGACAGCTGTGGGACTTGTACTTGATTTGAAGGCTCGATACAAGTTCGAACGAAACACATAGCATTAGACGGGTGACACATTGGCATCAAAAAACAATGATATTGGACAACTTCTTTCGGATACAACCTGCCGATTCAGTCAGTACGTAACACCAAGACTCAAGAGCTATACAGATCCAAACGCAAAACCCACGGCAAGCCAAAGTTACAGAGCTGTTTCGATGGTGATGACCGCAAAGTGCGAGTATCAGGGGATCCGCAAAAAACTAATCGGTGGAACGAAATCACCGAAAGGTCCCAAAAAAAAACCAGCCTCCGGCTCCATTCAGACAGAGCCGTTGAAAAGATTGGTTTTTTAACGAACCTGTCGATACTTTGGAATGATGGAAAGCCCAAAGTATCGAGAGATCCCTACAAAATCAATCGTTTCAGAGCCTCTGTTTGGAGAGGTTTTGATGATTTTTGCGGACCTCTCTTCGCGGTCCTCTCGCTACTTTCGGCTTTCGACATTCGCGCAATATGGAGAGGTCCCTAGAGACCAATCTTTTCAGAGCCTCCCTTGGGAATGGAGCTGGATTCGGCATGCACCAATTCAGAAGACCCAGAAGACCGAGTCAGAAAGCGGGTTGGCACGAGTCGCAGAGCGAGGGGTGTGCGACTCGAAAGCAAGGCTGGGGAGTAAGTAAACCGCACATAGGTGATCAAAACGTAAGCCCTCAACACCAAAAGTGCCCTGAACTTTATGTTAATCGCAAGACCAAACTTTGACCTTAAACCGCAAAAGCCCCACACCCGAAACTCTCAAGCACAGATTCCGAATAATAGAAGTGGTAAGCTGTCTGTTTTCGACTTGGGGGTTCGCACTGTTTTCGACATGGGGCCGCCTAATTCTCGACTCGTCAGCGCGGACTTGAAAGCACTTTTGCCGACTTGACAATCACTCTTGTTTTTTTGGTCACCGGTGGAGCGGCGGCGGATGCTCTTGAATTTCAAATAGTGTCTCTTCGTTCATCGCCTTCCTCACCTGCACGATCTGACTCCGTGGTACGGACCGGCATCAAAGATTCCTCTATCTCGAGATGCTGCTTGGACGGATTCCACTTGAGCACGATCTTTGTCGATCCATCCGCGATTTCGCATGTTCCATGGATCCGTGTGAGTGTCCGTGAATCGCTCGTGCAAGGAAATGAGGAACTGCTTGAACATGGCCAGGTTGAGGGAGTATGTCAGCCACTGCACTGCTGCTGCTGCTGCTACTGCTACTGCTACTGCTACTGCTACTGCTACTGCTACTGCTACTGCTACTGCTACTGCTGCTGCTTACTACTCCCACTGCTACTACTTTTACTACTTGACTAGTGCTACTCGTACTACCGCTACTAATTTCGCTACTGCTGCTACTACTACTACTACTACAACTACTACTCCTACTACTACTGCTACTATTGATAGCCATGTTACCATAATCACCATAATCACTACTACCACCAGTAGCGCTGCTATTGCTGTCAACACCAAAAGAAACACATCAAACATCTGAAGGGGAGTGGACCGCTGACCCGGACCCTGCACCCTAGGCCAAGCCGCGGTACACGTAGCGATTAAATCAAGGACCCGCAATCTATAACACTGCGGCCGAGTGAGCCTCGCTTGCCAGATTTCGCATCGCGATCACCTCCTGGACGAGGCCAATCCTTGGGGATGAGTGCATAGTACGTTTCCAGAAAAGCCCTTTTTGAAGCCAAATACTTTATTTTGCAAGTTTGAGATTACTCTGCATCTTTTTGAGTAAGAAACGCTTTTTGAAGCAATTGCCTGTGGATTTCACTGGTTTAACGGTTTAACCTTCTGAGAAAAAAGCATGCTTCCCAATTCGTCGCCCCGCCCCCCCCCTCATGGTGGGAGACACATAACGTACTTGCGGTGTCCCCTCTCCTTTTCACCCACTTGACCCTGGAACTTCCAACCACTGCGCACTGCGATTGCGCAAACGGTTTCAAGAAGGCTTCTTCTGCGAAGGGCTCTTGGATTGTAACGTGTTCAGCCGTTTTGCGAATGTGCAGCTGGGGCGCTGGTCCAGGCCCGTGTCCAAGACAGGCTGACGGCTGTATTCGAAGCAAGCCAACGGGAAGTCCTGTCGCGGTCGGACCGGGCCCAGGCTCTCAACGATGCTCAAGACATTCGTCAAGCCAGACACGGGAGTTTCTGACTCTCAAGGAGCGATCTACAGAAGAACCCCCGCCCGTTTCCGAAGCCGCCACATCGCAGCCCCCGCAAATCCAACAGAAACTCCTCAAAATGAAACTTCTGAAGTGGAGAGTCAAAGCCAGTCTCAAAACCGAAACGTCCGATCGTGATTGGCTATTTCTCCACAAGCCCTGTCGTTCGGCTTCTGCCCGCAGCCAGATGCCCCATACGCCGGCACTGGTGGTGCCAGCACGGAAACCATGTTGGGGTAGACGATGTCCTGTGGCTACATAAGACGCTGCTGAATGACCCTGGCAAAGCTTTGCATAGCTTTCCTGAGAACAAGATTCCGGCCACTCGAATCGACCTTCCATGAAGGTTGGGCAGCCAGCTGCTGCGTGGCCTCGGCTCATGCCATGTCCACGTTCGACATAACTCCCATCCGAATCGTTGGAAAAGTTCACTGCATGCTGTCAAAACCACCCGCCGGTGCCGTCCGACCCACTGTCGTCCACTGGCCGCCCATCTCTGTGACGAGCTCGCGGTTGAAGGCAAATGCATTTCCTTGACTCGGGACACCTCTTCGTTACAAGACGTTCGGCCGCTCCTTCGTCCTTTTGCATCGAGCGGCCGAACATCAGCAGCAGAGGCCCATGCGCACTTCGTTGCTGCTCCTTCCTCCCTGTTCGTAAGATGGTCAAATAAAAAAAAAAAAAAAAAAGGGTAAGTTGTCAACTATGGTGGGATTATATAAACCCCAAGAAAGATTAAAGGTTACCTGCTCAGCTACTAAGATTCCGCGATTGTCGAGCGAAGAAGTGAGGGGACGAGCAAGTGGTCAAACTCCACATTCAGAAACCAGTCCTGATTGCAAGTGCCAGAGTGAGCATGGGAAGTCCAGTTGGCGCTCATTCTGCATGCATTGTTACCTTCATATGCCGCAAGAAGTCTAGTGTACCTCAGCAATGCAGGAAGACTGCAAGAAGTCTGGCAGCCAAAGTGCATATTGGCTGTGCACATCCGACTCTAACCTTACAGAGCTTCGCGATGCTGGAACTGAAACTTATAAGAGTCCGTGGATGGCAGGAGGACACACGTGCTTCCGATCGAAGCATGCGAGTGCGAGAATGCCCGGACAGGCTTGCTCTGAAGCTTTGCCAAGCAGCATGTGCTTCCATGCTGGCATAAGGCCAACCATGTTCCTGCGGGGCGCAGAGAAAGGAATTCCAACAACAAGGCTGCAGGCAAGCGTGCCTGTGGTACAGCCAATGATCATCCTGAAGCTTGCAGAGACAAAGAGAGAGAGAGAGAGAGAAAAAAAAAAGTAGCAAGCGAGGCTGCTTTGCACTGTATGCGGTATGCGTTGTGTCGAGACTCCGAACGGCCGGTTGGCTGCTGCGTCACTGTCACAACGACAATGTCCACATCATCCTGCACGAAAGCTGCTCCAGCGCTCGTGCGATCACGAGAGCACAGCTAGTTGCCCCACAGCCCACAAAGCCAGACACGAAGCACCAACATCCCAGCCCTTGCTCCTCGTTTCCAGTTGGTCTGTGGTCGCTAAAGATCCGATGGCCATCGCACTTGCGGAAGGAGTGCCTTCCAGGTCTTACCATATCTGCCAAATCGCCCCGAACAAAGCCTCTAGACTCTAGAGCGGCCTCACATCTTCCAGAAGAGCCAAGTCCCCAGGCCTCGGCTTCAGTTCCGGTCAGCTCCGCTCGGCTCCGCCATCCAAAGTCACGGGCTTCCACGTCGTCCAGGCGAAACAAAAGAGCCGCAAGCCTCGCTTGCCCAACTAAGCTCTCGATCGCAGTGCTGGCAGTGCTCTGCCGCCGAGCCGGGGCCCCGGGGCCGGGGCTCCTCGCCTCGGACGTTCCGAGCACGCGCAGCGCCTCCGCCTCCTCCGGCGGGACGCGGCTCCTCGAGGCGGCGAGGCTGCGACAGCACGGGGCAATGCAGGCAACGACATTCCGGCGCCTGAAGCGTCGGCCTCGGATGTTCACCACAGGCTCACTGATCTCATTGAATTTTTGACTGAACAAGGGCTGTTGAAGAGGCATTGGTGAAAAGCTTGGAGCAGCACTCACGCAGATTGGCTGATTCAATTCGGATGATTCAGGACCTTCACCGCCAATGCTGCAGCATTGAAGTTGCACGCAACTGGCATTACAAGAAGCAGTTGCGTCTCCATCGCTGAGGGCCAAGCTGTCCAACATAGCATTGAATAGAATGTTGTTTGAGTATCTGGGCCGCTGCAATCAAATCATGCAGGTCACGTGCAAGCAAGTGCCCCTAGTGGTTACAAACATCCGGCTTTCCAAAATGAGTAGCAACTCAATTTCGACGGGTGCCGTGTGCTCTGCGCAGAGTGCCCAACCGTTGCAGACGGCAACCCGACAGCTCGGCTCCGTCGAAGCGAAACGGCAGGTTCAAGCCTCCAGAGAAATAACTTCGACTGCATGCTTTGCAGCGATGCACAAGCTGTCGCTCAACTGACTCTGCATTACCTCGTGCAGCATTTCGGCACTCGGCGAAGTCCACTAGCCTCAGCCACGCGGCCGTGACCAGAACGACGCGCTCAGCAGGACAGAGACCGGCAAATGACTCTGTTGATGCTGCACAAAGTCCCGGACAACTCCGTGCCATTTGGACAGCTGCCCCGAGACACTTGCACTGTGTCGCCATCTTCATCCACAGCCGCCTGCCAGTTGAACTGGTGCTTAGTGAGATGAGCCGCCACGTGTAACATGAATGCTGCCAAACGACATGATACACACGTACCCAAATTGCCTACGCATTGTGCACGGAAGGCAACTGCACTGCAACTACTACCAGTTCCATAACTAAAGAGACCTCCTCTTCCGGCCAAAGGTTGCTACTAGCATATACTCACGTGCCCCCTCCCCCCCCCCCACGTAGGCATGTAAAAGTGAAACACGTGTCTCCTCTCTTCTTCCTATATCGGCTTTGCCGCGCGCAAGTAGATGATCAGCTTTGGCAAACAAGCGTCCAACATATACTCGGGGTTTATCTTCAACCTCTCGTCTTAGTTCTCTTTGGCGGCACACGTACTTGGGACATCGCATCTGCTGCTGAAAGGTGAGGTACTTACCATTACCCACAGACATGTGCATAGCAGCCCTAGCAATCCCACCAATCCAGGCGCCAAGCTTGTCAGGTGGGAACCATGCTCGCGGGTGCGTGCAGACTGGCGTCCCCCTGAGCACTTCACTGTCGCTTTCCACTTCTCAGTTGGCTCCTGCACTGGCTCCTTGTTTGGGAGGCGAGATCGAGCCGAGCCCTCACTGGACGTTTCTTGAAGCACGGGCTTGGATGATGGCGGGGCAGCCGAGGCTGCTGAACCCTCTGTGCTCTGCTTCTGCTCAGCGCCGAGAAAACTGGAAAAATCTGGGGTCTGGGAAGGCTCCGAGCCGAGCCCGGACGCCCGGAGGCCTCCCCCCCTCCTTTCCTCCAAGACCGCACTCACTGCGGATCACCGGGTCTCTGTGCGACCAGCAATGTACTGTCTATGTTTTCGGTTATAGTATTATAGAACTGAAGAAAACGCAAGCGAATCAAGGCCTGGATTGTGTGTGCATCATTCCCTGAGTCCAAGACGAGCACCTTGCAGCGTGCGCAGAAAGCCACAACCCTTTGAGGTGAGACTTGCCATCCACTTTCCGGCGCCGACCGGCCTCCTTCCGAATCAAGGTCCGAGCGCCAGCCCAGCTGGTCGGTAAGCTTGTGGGCTGACAGCCTGGGCTCTCGCCACGCAGTTCAATGTGGTTGAAAAAATCAGATTATCATACACCGGCATGCCCTGCCCTTCCCAGCTAAGCCCGGCACCCTGCCAGAGATAGCAGAAGCTACCTTTGCTTGCTTGAACCAAGTTCAGCAGACCCCAGCACACCGCATCCCCGCACGTGACGCGTCTCAGGTGCTAACATATGAAGGCCTGAGAACGTAGCATGGCGACTCGCCACGGCTCGAGCCGAGAGCCAAGGTCCCGAAAGGCATCTCACTTCTCTCAAAGTCATCCCATCGCTCTCATCTTGTCTATTGTCGCGCTCGCGCCACGCCGCTTGCCTCTGGAACCCTCGGCCGCGGCAGATCCAAGCCCTCGCCTTGAAGCATTGCCATGGCCATGCAGTGTGCCAGCAAGACCCCGGCCCTCCAGGCAAGCACTCGTTACTGGACTTTGCCTCCGTGGGCCACAGGCGGCTGAAGAGGCCGAGCAGCGCAGCGCCGCACTGCCTCCGTGTGTTGCGAGATGCTGCTACAATGCTACAAGTAACACGAACGTTGCGAGTAGAAAACCGGAATCCGGAACGGACCAGAGACCAGACAGGCAGCGCATGGCAGCACCTCTGTCCGTGCTTTGGCCTCAGCCTCCCTTTCTGCTGCGAATTCCGTGGCCACCTCGTTTCAACGGCCCCTGACTTGCTGATGGGCCGACCCTCATCGGCTCGGCCTGGCGGAGTTCGACATGAGCTGCATGGGACCACACCTCACACAAACGCACAAGCCCACGCGCAGGTTCAAGCATGTCCGCAAGTTCATGTCGCAATTTCAAAAATCTTTCAGGTCGTCTTGCAGCTTGACTTTGACTCCAGAGGTCCACATCTGTTACCCTGACACACATCTCTGGCAAAGCCTGTGAGGCCAACCGCCAGCCTGTCATACCCTCTCAGGCGGCGGCTTCAAAAGTGGCCACACGCTGTCTCGCAATCCGCACATTATCTTCTGCCTGCAGTGACGCTGACTCTTCATGCACTTGCCCTGTCCCGAAGGACAGATCAAAATCAATGCTGCTTCCAACCTCAAGAGTCGGGACAAAGTTGGCAAGTGGTTGGCACTTAAGGCCCGGTTCAGAACGTGCTAGGAAGAAGCGAGCCCAGACTTCGCGAGACAAAGAAAACTCAGGAAAGGCAGACACTGATTGTTCACGTCACTGATTACCCGGGCAAGAACATAACAAACTTCAAACCCTAAACCCATTTTGTGCGGGTGTAGCAAACTCTCAACTCCCGAACGGGAGCCGACTGGCAAACCCTCAGAAACTTGGAAGCTTTGAGAATCTGCAAATCTCAACAACCTGGACCCTGCATAAGATTGCGAGTGGCTACATTAAAAAACACAAGAGATCCTAACAGAGATTGCGAACCAATGCCTAAACGCCAAAAAAAACGAGAAGTGACAAAAGCCTGAACTCGAGAACGAGATACACCCCACAGACAATCGCAGGGAAATGCTGAACGAAGAGGGTTGCAGCAAACCCCGATCAGGCCTATAAGTGTCACGCATCTGCACCGAAACGAAGAGAGTGGAAGGCCTTAAAAGATGGTGTACATCGAAAAGGAGCGGTACTCATCAACCCTACATACTGTAAAAAATACAAATTGAAAACTTCCACATGGAGCAACACTGCAAGCGGACCTGGAAAGGAGAGGAGCGTGTTCAATCAAAGCTTGCGCAACACGGTGAGACTTAGAGCCAGATCCCTGCACCCAGAGAAGAGCTCGGCGGTGGGTTGGAAGGTGCACAAACGGGGTGGGCGTGCAGTGTGCAGATGTTAAAACAGAGCTTGCTTCGAGTTCATTCTGTCCCAGCACCGGCAGCAAAGGCACGTTGGAGTTGGGCACCCAGGTCACCGGGCCGGACAAGAGACAAGATGTGACAACTGCTATTCCTGGCCTGCGCCCTTCGAGCCTCCAGGTTGCGAACTTCAGCTTGGCGCTCCGACAGCGCAGCAGCCTCGGGGTATCGAAGCTGTGCTGAAATAGCTGACTGAATTTGCAGTGAGTGTCTACAGTTAGCGAGGGTCCAGAACCTAGCTGTAGCCTCACAGACTACAAGCTCGGACCAGGCCACAGAGAGGAAGGTCGCATTTGGGCTTCCGCGGGACATGGGCTTATATCGTCGCTAGCCCGTGGCCCGAAATCTAAGGTCTCGGTCTGCTCCTAAAACGTGTCGTGATGACATCGGATGCGTTGCAGAAGAATAAGATCGCTTGCAGATCTGACCGGTCCTCTGCAAACTTATCTGCTGGCAAATAAGCACAAAGAAGAGTGAAGCTACTGTTCCTGGTCAACTTGGTGAGACAAGCAGCGTCGTCTCCACTGCTTTAGAATATGTAGACCTATGGCAAACATGTCCCACAGTAAGTTTGTACTAAGCCCGTCACAAGGCTTGCCACCTCCAGCACAGGACGTCTTTCACCCATCAAGCGACAGGACGACACGACGCAAAGGTCCAAGTTGAGATCATGGATGCAACAGACGTTCCTAGCCCGCGCTGCCTCCGCCTCTGCCTGCAGCGACAGCAATGGCGTTGCATGGCCATGCTCCTTGCAGTCACAAGCGACAAGACGGACGGTCGGGACGGTTTCGGGGCGAAGCGAAAAAGGCCCGCCTGAAAGTTGCGCAGGTTAAGAAAACTACTGCACTTGCGACTCGGTGACCACCACGGTCAACTACCATGCTTATTGGACCCTTGATTTCCGGGTCGCTGCTGAAAGTGTAGATCTGACTAGTGTTAGTAGTCTTGTGGGGTCGACTCTGAAGAGAACCGCGGCTCGGCAATGCCAGGCCTCGGCTGCTTCGGCACCTGACCCGGGATCATTCCAACGCATCGGCAGCCCAGACACTGCCACTGGTAAGCAGTCGAGCCCAGCACCAAGGAGCTCCCCTTCCGCCTCGCAACAGCCATGTGTCTCTGTGTACACAAGGGAACTCAACACAAAGCTGAGAGCCTGTGCCAGCAGCAGCTCAGCTTGCAGTTGCGAGAGCCTGAGAAAGTCTTGGAGAAAGATTGAAGATTCTTTTGAACCGGGACCGTCAATTGTTTGGCCCATGTTCGCATGTCGCGATCCACTTATCTGAGGTGCCGTGCAGTCTTTGGCCCTCGACCAATTCGGTGACCTCAACCTGAGAGGGTTACAAGCTCCCGACAAGAGGCACAAGTTCCCTGCTTCTTCTTTGCCTCTGGTGAGTCCACTTGCAGCGCTTGCTCCAAGTCGGCAATCTGCCCTTCTAGGCCTCAAAGGCGGAGGAGAGAACTGCGAGAGTTGCTGTCGAGACCGCATCTGTAGGACCAAGGCATTGCGCGCTCCTCGCAACCTGCAGTCGTCAGTCAACCGCAGGCACAAGATGGACAACTAAAGCCAGTGCAGCCTCTGGCGCGGTCTGTAAGCTTTGTTGCTCTTCTGCCGCCTGACAATGTCAGTACAGGAACTTGTAACTAGACTTATGCTGCTCACGAATGCAGCTTCCTTCTTTAAAGAGGTAAGCAACAAGATAAACAAGCAACAATTGGGGGTTCCCTTTGTGCTCTGCTCTCTCTTGCTGATATTCTACAACTAGGGACTGCAATTCAAGCTTCTAATCTGTCTCCGGCAAACCTGCAATTGCCAGAAACTTGGTCAGAATCCAGAACCCTAATGGCACGTGCCTACATTCGTACGAGCGCATGTTTACCTGCTTACTTGAATTTGGCTGGCTGTCCTACCGTACCGGGTCCGAGGCACTCAAGAGACTCTGGGATCAGAAACTATGGATAGACAACATCTTGCACCACTTATTCATAAACGTGTTTAAATGAATCCCCCGCTCCTGTGTTAACGGGCCGGATATTCTCCAGTGTCCGAAAGCTTGCACCGCTCAAGCAGTCCTAGCTACCAATGTCAAGTAGGGGTGCCGGGCTTGATGCCTCAATCGCTTGAAGTATGCATGTACGGGTGGTGCAAGATATCGTCCATCCACCGTACCTCAAAACATTCCCTTCGGAGAACACGCTGACCTAGATTATGTGCGTAGGCATTGCTTCCTTCGTCCCCTGGAAAGAGGTGCAGTCGAACTGCCCTCCCCACCTCGGTGAGCCCGCGCAGCGTGGCAGACTTCGACTTTGCACCTCCCGGCCTCGGCTTGAAGCATTTGCTCTACGACTCTACGTCTACTTCGCACACCACTTCCGCCTTGCAATGCTAGCATTTTTGTCGCCTCGCCCGAGCAGGACTGCACGCAGTCTATACAATCAAACTCACGGCAGAGTGCATCTTGCTCACGAAGCTCTGAAATCGATTCCAATTGTCTCCATTCAGCAGGTCGTTGCCCAAGCGAAGGTAAGTAAACACCTGCATGCCTGATTTCTCACATGGTCCCGGCTTTACAACATGCAGAAACAGGGTACTCAAGCAGCTGCTGCGGAACTGAACATGCCTGACTTGTAGGACTCAATCTTGGCATAAGCGGTGTCATCAAATCTGGGCAAGGCATTTTCTCCACCCAGCGCGATGCCGTGACCGGCAGTTGCCGCCATCACCTGACCAGGTTGTATCTGGCGTCACCGGATCAGCCTCTATGACAGACAGCTCAGGCGGCTTAGGCCTGCTTGACGAGCTCCTCCGGGCCGGAGGCACAGTCAGCGGACTGCTCCGAGTCGGCCATCTCCTCAGCTGTCACAGCACACAAGTCCCAGCACCGCGAAGAGCAGCCTTTAAGTCTCAGGCCATGCAAGTGAAGTCCACACCTGCACCTGCGGCCGCGAATATCGCAGCGATGGAGCCATATGCGTCGAAGCCGTTGGCGTTGTAGTAGCCTGGCCACGTGGCATCCACCGGGATTTTCAGATAGCATCAGCAATGGCGGGCTCGTGTTCGTGTAGACTGTCCTGGCCTGAGGTAAGTTCGGCTGCATGGTGATCGCTCTTGTACCACCAGTGGATCCCAGCAACCTTGCCTGCCAGACGGACACCTGACTTTGAGAATGCCTTAGATAAGCTCGCTCTTCTCCCAGCAGAGTTTGAGAATGAAAGCGGCTGAAATGCCTCTCAGGTCACTTCCTTGGCGCGCTGGAGCACCTCAGCGCCATGCTGAAGGAGTGCCTCAGCTCAAAGCTCACAAAACTTCCGAAGCATTGACCAAGCCTTTGCATGCCTGTGCTACACTCTGCCAAGCTTCATCGGCGTACCACTTCAGAAAGAACCTGCCGAAGTCTGACTGGTATCCATTCTGGAAGAATGCCGCATCACCTGGCACTTCCCGCTGGCCAAATGCAGCAACTGCTCCGGAGCATTGCCTGGGTGGCTGTTGTAGTCCCCAGCATCCGAGGGGGGATTGCTCCAATCAGCATGTCCTCGCAGTACCAGCTGTGAAAGCATGTGTTCATTGCGACATCTGCCAGAAACTTTGCGGGAAATCCCATCTGGCGAATGCCTATTGAAGCTGACGACGCACAGGCATGTGACGGGCATGGGACCGCAAGCTGCAGATCCTGGCAGAGTGGCTCAACCCTTTCTGTTGCTCCGTCTCCTGCACTCTTTGCAGCGCTGGCCAGGCTTTTGAGAGCATTGGCATCGTAGCATTGAAAGGCACCGACGCCACAGAACTTCCACTGAGAAAGCTGATAGGCCTGAGCTCAGCTCCTGGAAGCTCCATGTTCAGACGCACGCATGTGCACCCACACAGACACACACCTGAGATACTCTCAACTCGTCACCAATTTCCCTGCAAGGCACAGGATATCTAAGCTCGCCAGCGGGCCCCATGCCCACCTGCAAACGTGGTTTAAACGAGCTCGTTTTTCGTCTCCGGACACTTAATGCACTCAGACAGTCGTGTTTTGAGGCGACTGGATGTAGTTCTGGAGCCATTCTAAATCCACGCAACTACAAAGTGTTGTATGCGCTTCTCGACCTAAGCCCCACGGGGTGGAATCAGTGATCAGCTAATGCTGAGCAAAGTCAGATTAAGTTGTCGCAACTTCGATCTGCCGTGGATCGGTAACATGCAGCAACCTCCAGCCCACAGCAAGACAACTTCTGCGGAAACCTGCCTCCAAATGAAAAGAACATCGATGCTTATGATGTGTAGCACCGGAAAAACAAGAAATGAGGAACGTCCATGCGCATGCCACTCCAAACCAGACCCATCACCCACCTGGATCTCCTCAATTACACTGCCTCGGGAAAAGATCGATCCGGCCAGTGAGTTGCAACAGTGGTTCGTGCCCTCTTCTTAAACCCTCTCCGCCCAGCTGCCTAGATCTGCCGCAAAGCTCGCCGAAAGCGCGTTGAACCAATCACTGTACATTTGCAAGGGGGTGCGACCTGCTGCAACAAGTCCACGAAGGCAACACTGTTCGAAAAGCTCTGGCCTTCAACCGTGACATTGTCGGCAAAAAGGGATATGTATTCTTTGTCTTCATGGCCATGCTGGTCCTGGCAGCCAAGAGGCAAGTAAAGCACTGACAACAACTGCATCTTGCTGTCCTTGTACCAGATGTCCCCCTGAGAAGTCACAAAAGCAGGCAGAGGAATATCGCAGGTGTCGCCGACATTGCCACCACATTGGTGGAAGGAGGTCACCAGCTGCACCTATCACGAGGCGACGAGGCGTCGGAAGCTTGGCACTGGACAGGCATCCCACCAGCAACTCGTTGAATCTAGTTGGGACTCACGACCAGGGTGGCACAACACCTCCTATGGCTCCCCTCTTCTGAAATGTGTTGGGGGCGGTCTTGATGGCTCATTCCCTGAACTCGGACATGTTAACAAGCCCACTGACTCTTAAAACGCGGGCCTTGCCTTCAGGCCAATGCTCTTGCACATGTCGACGAGCTGTTTGTATCCATCAAATTTGTACGATTTTGCACTTGGTTCGGTGGCACCCCACCACACATCTGCCATGATTCCGTCTGCGCCGCCACTCTTCCTCACACCAACGAACTCTCAAGCCATCGAAAGTCGACTGCACTGCCGGTGGTGCCCTTTTTATTGCCGCATGGGGCAGCTTGATTGCAGATTAAAGACTGCAACTAGATCCCTTTTCGAATCATGATAGAACTGCAAGCTTTGCTGCAACTACAGCCTACGTAGAGGCGTGAAACTTACTACTTTACTGCAACTATCGCCTGCTGAGAGGCTGAAAGCTTGGAAAACTGCAAGCTTTACTGCAATTACGGCTTTCTTGGCGGCCTGAAATTTACTGCTTTACAATGCATCGAGGTTCAGTTGCTGCAATTGGGCCCTCAATGCCTCTGGATCCTTCAAATCTCCAGACTGCGTCACAGCATCGAGACCTGACAGACAGGAGCCTGCAGCACCGACACACGGAAACAGACCATGTGGAGCTGTCCGCTGCGTCCGCTGTTGCCAGGAGGCCTAGCATCACGAAGACCTCCACCGCCTAAAGCCCCCGTCAAATACAAAACAAAGCAAAGCCACGGACTCAGGAGAGATGAGGCGAGACACAGGTGGCTCCGCTTTGCTCTCTGGAGTCTGGAAGCTGGGCGGCTGAGCATCCGGCATCTGCCCAGGTAAGGAGCAGTGTCACTGTCGCGAGCAACCGCATCATGTTTAAACGACTTCTCTGGGATCTCTGGCAACAAGCTATGGCTGCGGTGTCATCGCCGAATCAATCGCAACACCTCCAGCCCCCGGCGTTCATTCAGAAGCTTGGGGTGAGGCCGAGCATCGCTTTCCTGGCTATGCACCACCGCGCAGGCTGCTGAACCAACTGGGAGGCCTTAAAAAAGTGCCCTGAGCGGCGTGCCTTCTGTCCAGAGTCATCCTGCAACGCTGCAGTGTGGAAGCATCGGGCTGCAGCTTGCGCACACTAAAGCCATGACCGAACGCCGCCGAAGCTTCGTGGCCTCCCTGGAAGTAGCTGGTGCCATTTCATGCTTCCAGCATGTTTGCTTTCTTGTAATGAAACTCGTCCAGCTGATCTCTCGTGCTGCGTTCCGGCTGTGATTGCCAACGGGTCATGCCTACAGTGACCTTCTGTCTACCATTGTGGGATTGAACAGAGCTATGCACCTGCAAAATGGCCCGTTGCACCTGCTGACTGGTCTTATTTGTTGCATAGGCCGTGTGACAAATACAGCACAACGTCTTTTCCTGGCGCACGAGGCAGCAATTCCCCGTCTTTGCCCCCACAATGTGGCATCTACTACGTCTGTACATGCAGATCCCTGTATATCCGTGAAGTATATGAAGTATGCAGTGCATGCCTTCCAAGTCCGCTCACCACGGCTTGAAAGCAGTAGCCACTGCCAGACAATGCATCAAATTACTCTTTCAAGAATACTCAGGTTTTCTGAGCACAATCTGAAAGACTCACCCAGTTGCCTTTCGGCCGCCGCAATGTGGATACCGATGACAAATCGAGTGGGCATGCGGGCACATCTGAAAAGGAAACCAGGTGCCATTCAAGCACGCTTGCCGGCATATGACATGCGCCAATGGCCGACATGGCACGTCTGCACCAAGATGCTATCAGTTTGAACACTCGGGCAACACTGTACAAACGCCGTAAGCGAATGTTCGCTTCTGAAGCTTTCTCAGCACAGCATGGCAGTCGCCACCGCGAACTCGAAACCGGCATCTGATATGTTGACCTTCCTTGGACATGCCATGCCACACACATACTGCGTGACCAGAAACATGCAACGGCCCGCATGCACTTGAACGGGAACACGCTCAGGAACAGTAACATCACGTCGGCCTATCCACTGTTTGCAGAGAGCTTAACCTTCGTCATTTGGTACGACGGAGTGTCAGGGGCATTGTGGGTATTCACAGCAACCAGAAGTAGGGACCTGGCTAGTTTCCGTGGCTTTCCAGTTAGCGCTGCGAGAACAGCACAACTGCATCCGTTTTGAAACTCTCTCGCTCCTCGCTTTGCTCGTGGGTGATTGTTCATGATCGCTTGCAGCACTGCGGTTAATGTTCGGAGGATCAGCAAATTGAGTCGAGGTGGACGGCATCTTCGCAGGACGGGATGCTGATGCAGCCACGGCAGTTTGCAAACAGCTCTGTTCTTAAATTGCAAGCCCCCTCGCAAGCGACGCGGCAAGCAGGGAGCGATTGAGATTCAGCTTTGGTCCAACTTGGACACGACCTGTCACAGGCCTGAGCCGGTCCTGTATGTACCGGGCCAGGATGAGCTGCTTAACTTAACTCCGCTGATACGTTGTCATACACCCGTCCAAGCACCCATCAACCACACAGCTTCAGCAGAGCTCACACCTCCTTGCGGCTCTGTGCGGATTCCCAAGCCGAGCAGCCCGTTGCTGCTGTCTGCTGGCACTCCACGGCCCCAGAGGACCGGTGAGATCGCCACGCCTTGAAAACCGCGAGATCCGATCCCTTCGCAAGTGCGCAAGATTGCGCAAGTGTGCTTCGCAGCGGAGCCCTGGCCTGGACCTCCGCTGAGCGCCTCCTCACTGCTGGTGATGAAGGCCGGGCCGCGGAGGTCCGTGATTTGCCCATCCACCTCGGCATCGGCACAGAGGGAGACATTAGACCGACCGGCATGAGCTCGGCATGGCAAGGCCCCAGGTGCCTTGGACAGAGCCGTGTATCTTTGGACGATAAACCTTGGACAAGAAACGGCAAATGTGAAATCGGGACAGCTCTGCACGAGATTCAACCTCAACAGGTTCTAATCTGAAATCAAGCCCCTGGCCGTTGCCATCCCTCTGCTTTCGAGTAATAAATCGGGAACTCACCGGCTAGAACTTGGGGACTCTGCATGGGGCAAATCTAGAGCTTCGCAGATTCGTGCAGCGATGCGCAACGAAACGGTGTGTGAGAGGCGGGGCCCCAAACCCCAAAGAGATGGACACGCAACCGTTTATAACTGGATGAGTCGTAGAACCCTCGTCAATACAACAAAAGGGAATGAAGGTGCGAAAAAACAACATCACAAGTGGGGAGTTGTGGGAGATGGCACATTGGTGCTCGAATCGCGCGTAGCTGAATCGCCTCAATTACGAGTATGCGATGACCGTGCTTTAATCGCATGAACCACCAATTCCCGAATCGGAGTCGTCGTAGTCCTCGACTTTGATCAGTGCTCACATCGCACTTTTGCGGCGTTACTAAGGCAGCAGGCATTGAAGAGTCTGGGTCATCACTGTCGCACGCCATTTGCACAGGGAAGCCCGGAGCGTCTTTGTTGAAACCAAACGCGCCCGCGCCACGGTTTCCGAACTCGGCAAATACTGGACTCTGCTGAGGCACGCCTCAGGCTCGGCAGCCACAAGCGGCCGTGCTGCCAGAAACCTAGGGCAGCTTCGATTCCGGGCTTCTATAGCACTGCACCTGCAACAAGAACTTTGCAAAATTCTGCATTGTAAGCATACCTAGTCGAGTTTCTCTTGGCGCGGCAGCTTTGCACCCACCCAAACTGCATTGCCTCGACACGGAACATCCACCCCAATGATCCACGAAGAGCACACAGTTTGGCACTGATCCTGCCTCCGCGACCATCTACGCGCTTGACCACAACGTTGGGCTGCGTGCCTCCGTCTCGCCAAACCACACTCACTCATAATATGTGGAAACAACAGTACTTAAAGTCAGTAGTTCTCCAAACCACGGATATCATCAAGAGGTGTTGGAGGGAGGCACTCGTCACGAGGCCCTTCCATTTGCTGCAAAAACGCTGGGAATGTCGAAGACGGAGTGGATGAGATCAGGTTCCCCCGCGAAGCTCCGGGTGGGGATCGTGCGAAGAATCGGCTCCTCTGCAGTGTTGTTCAAGATCTTCTCAAACGAGAACGGATCGCTGCTTTTGTGTGCTCTATATACATAATGAGGTTGCTAGATAGGTAGATAGGTAGATAGGCAAAGAGGCAGATAGGTAGATATGTACATTAGTAGATAGGTAGCCGCTCTCTTACATATGCTACCTCGCTCCTATTTGCTGCATGGAGCGATCGATAGGGGCATGTGACAAGACTCGCTGAGAGCAACGAGCACAAGGCAACTGGACGATGTACCCTAGCACCGCGAATGATGGTGTACCACGATCGTCGAACCTCACAGCTACCGTCCCGAGGTCTCGCAAGCTCTGACTTATGTTACATCTTTTGCAGCAAGAAATGGGCTGTGTTCAGAGAAGAGGCAAACCGTTCCAGCACCAGTTCCTCACCGAGGTAATGCTGAATCAGCTGGTCCATGTAAGAGCACAACTCCTTCGGGAGACAATCACTGGAAGATACAAGAATCTTAACTTAAACCTTTCTGTCTGGGAGATCTCCCTCCCGCTCCTTGTCTTCGACCAAAATCAGTCCAGGACCATTGGCGACCTGTGCGTCTAATCAGTCTAATCAGCCTAAATCCTTCCGCTCTGGCTCTCGGCACATCTGGGCACCTTGACCCTGCCCTTGTAGTATGCTTCGAGCAGCCCGGGGACCTTTCAGCACTTTTCGCATGGCTGCACTGCTGCACCACTGCTCACACTGCTCCCTGAGCTCCCAGCACCCTGCTTGCCCTCCATGAGGCGCTGCCATCCCTCCTCAGGGCCGCGCTTAATGCATCGACCGGCGCGCTGACCTGCGCCGATATCCTCCGACTTGGCCTTGTCGTCCCTGCGCAGAACACGGAAGAGCTGATCGCCTGCATCAGGTTCTGCAGTCACACGGAGAAACGGACCAGGCTGCGCTGCCAAGCAACGTGCATTTTTGCTATCGCGCTCCCCGATCACCTGAGTCAAGGCGAGGCTGGACTCGGTCACTGCAAGCCCCGCCAGCCCCGCCAGCCCCGCCCTTGGCCCTTCGTCCTTCGGCCCCGGCCTGGCCAACAGACTCCACTGCCTCGCGCAGCTCCGTAGCGCAGCGGCGCGCCCGCTCCGCCTTCCGACTGCTCCACAGTATGCTCGACAAGCAGGTGCATCTCACCAAAAAGCATATACTCAGGCTTAGGTGTTTCTTGGCTCCTGACAGGCAGCAAGGATATCCCCGATCGACAATTACCCAGGCATGCTTCACAACGAAGAAGGCCATTTCCGATCACTTGCGAGGTCAGTTTTCATGTGATCGAACGGGTGTCTGCTGGGAACAAGAGTTAACCCGAGAAGGAACATCGGATGCCGAGGGTTCCCAAGACTACCGACCCGAGATCGAGACTATCCATAGCCCAAACAAATAATGCACCACGGCTTGTCAGCGGGCGAGAGGTGAGCACGAACGCGGATTCCATGGAAGAACCGGAAATGAACTGCGACAGCTACGGCACCTATGTAAAGCTCCCGCCCCCACCCCTTGAGTACATTAGGGCCATTGCGGGTGAACAGTGGTCCGCTTGTCCCAGCCTCGATCGGGTGGTCGCTCATCTGCCAGGCCTGTTCCAGCTTTTTCAAACCTGACATGTGCGTTTTCTCGACGGGGCTCAAGGGGCGAGCTTGAGAGCTTGATAGAGCTCGTGCCTTCTACATCTGGTTTGTAATGGTAAGACTCGCCGAAGGTCAGCTTGCCAGTTCCTGCATTGTACCTAATCGGGCCATCAATGCGCTCGCTTTGGTTGGTATTCTTGTCTGTCCACGTCCAGATGAGCTTGCCCCCTTTCATCTGTAGTGAACTCTTGTTGCCATCTGTGTCCAGAAACTCAACCTTGGCCTTCATGCAGACTAAAGACTTTTCATTTCTTGAGGCCTTCATCACCTCTTTCTTCTCCATCTCTTCGTATGCACTGATTCGAGTGCGAGCCTCGTCAATCGCCGAGCGGAGTTTTGTGCTCGGATGTCCCGGCTGAACATCCGTGGGCTCCGACAGCAGAACCACCAGCCCAACAGGCTCTTCTTGCGGAGCCTGCGCCTTCACGGGTGACCCACGGCGCCGTGCTGGGCTCCGACTTCGGCGGTCAGCATCTTTTTGAGAGTCCTTTGTAGCCTTCGCCGGAGTTGCCAACAAAACACGGCCGTGGCGAACCAGCAGCCTGGGCTGATCTTCACGGGGGCCTTTCTCATCCGGCAGTTGCACCGGCACGAGGCCTTTCTGCCTCAAGAGGGTCACAAGCCGGCGGTCCTCGTTGTCGTCCCGGACTGAACGGTGGTAGTACAGAACGACCACTTTTTCCCCCTCAGCAACCTGCACACAGGTTGCCCCTAATTCTTGAGACTACTGTGCCTGTTTCAAGATACAACGTACAGAAGCTGTAGCTGAGCATGGTCGCGGCGTCTATCTGAACTGCTGCTGCAACTACTGGCTTAGCTACTGTCAGGAGTTACAGTACACTCAACGGGCCTGGCGCTTGTAGTGATTGGCCATCTCTTCGTAGAGGCGCTCGGCATTCGCTGGCTCCAAGTGGGGCTTCAGCTCCGGGAAGCCTTTGGAACCGTTGGCCTCTCCCACCAGAACCTGCCGCGCAAGGGGCAGGTCTCCAAAGCCACCAACATAGCCCAAGTTGTCCTCTACAACATAGAACTCATGGCCATGCTCACAAGGTCCACGGATGATGTCTGGACCGTACCAGATGTTCCAGTAGAGCTTCTTTGAATCTGCCTCCTTCTGCACTAGGTTCTGAGTCCATTGCTCACCAGCTCGAGCTGCAATTCGATTAAAGACATCACGAGGCAGTGCTCCACTCCGCACACAGCTCAACTGTCCAACTTTCATCTCTTTCCTGCTGTTGACATCCATCACGAGTCGTCGCAGAGCCTGCGCTCGCTGCGCTACTCCGGCGGTAATTTTCGCAGCCTCAGAGCCAGCAAAAACCGCCAAGCGAAAGGCTCACGACGCCGAACCTTTTGCCGGCGGCCTCCGGCTGTGTAAGCATCCGCGGGATGTGGTATAATCGATTGTCGCCCTTGAAGCATTTCCTCAGACTCGGCACGACTTCAACCTCTCTGTCTCAGACTCAAGATGCAATGCCCAGCGAGCCAAGAATCTCAGACTCGGCTTTGAAGTCATTGATGCCTGGTTGAAGCAGGCTGAAGCCCAAAAGAACCTCTGCAAACGGCTATCTGTTGCGATGCCAGGAAGCGTCTGGGCTTGCGATTCAGAATCTGGTCCATCTCCTTTATGACGCCCACGTAGGCTGCACGGCAGTGTCCTCGAGCCCGTCACTATGATGCTTGTTGCTCATAGCAGCTCAGCGATGCTCTACTTGCTGCCTTTCTCGTCCCGCATCTCGTCATAGGGCTCGGCCTTGGCGGCTCCAGGCCAAAGCCTCAGGGGCAACAGCAACAGCAGTCGCGACTTGCGACTTGCGACCAAGGCCATGTCCATGTCAGCATGTCAGCACAGACACCATTTGCCACAAAAGCAACCCAACGGTGACATCGGGCAGGGCGCGGCGAGCTTCCTCTCAGGCCCCCAGCATTGGACATGCACCAAACAAAAAACAGCAAAGAACAAGACAAGAACCAAATCCGAGCTGGCCGGCGGCTATCCCAACACTGCTTTGTCCGTCTTCGGCTACATAAGCATCTTCGGCACGGTCGGAAAACAGAATGGTATGTTGCCTTGGCAAGCGCCTCAATCGCGTCAGCCAGGTCTTTGGACGGCTTCCAGCCTCATAACAGCCAGCGGAATCTCGCAAGCGCAAAAGCTACAAATTTTATGTCGTCTTTACTCATTTGTTTCTGCGCCCGGTGACCATTCTGAAGCTGTGCAGCCACCCCGTTCTCCGAGTTGCTCTTCGAAGCCTGCCACTTCGCACATGTGCAAACATCCGAGAATTTTGTCAGGCAGTCCGAAGTCCCCCGAGTCTGGAACTTACTTGAGAAATCTAGTGCTACAGTAACGTAGAGTCTCGAGCTCCGTGAATCCCGGAACACCACAAGAAGCTGTGGTCGACCTTGCAAAACCCTTAACAGAGGGTGACATTACCCGTCTCTTTTGCTGCTGGAGCTCTTGCCAACAAGCAGCGAACACACGTGAAGATCAATCGACTCTTCGCAGTCCAAACACCCGCCTGCAAGCATTGCAGCAGGACGCTGGCAGCAGCTACGTCCTTCAAGTCAGCCGCAAACATGCAGCAGCGCTTTTCAGTGAGCACTGAGACACCCTGGCGAGCACACAGTGTCCCAGGGTCCTCTGGCTTGATCTCCCCGCTTATAGCCGGCATCTTCAAAAGGCCACCCAATGCGCAAGAGATAGCGAGGAGATGTCAAAATGTCACTCATAGCTCGGGAGCATCTGCGTTCGGGTCTGGTCATAGTTTCGCGATGGTGTGAACATCTGGCTGAGGCTTTCTAAGGATGCTGCACGGTGCCATGCATGTCAGAACAGCTTCCCAAACCATCTGGCTAGAGTTTTCTCTGTCGCTTGCGTCAGACGCTCCCGGCGAGCTGCGGGGATCACAGGAGGAGTCGTCTTGACTCGAACCTCTTCCGGGCGTTAACAAGTGGCTCTCACATCGACAACAATGGAAGCGCTGTCATGCCCCATTTTGATCAAGCCGCTCAAAGATCTCATCGCATTGGAGCTCTCGAGATACTCATGTAGTCTTTCACGTACACGACTTCTTCGAAGATGTCAGGCTCGCCGAAAGCTTCGTACGCTGGCCTCTCGCAATGCTCATGAATGTATGCAGGCCAACAAAACCAGAGTCGAGGCGGGTAACATTGCAGACATGGAGTACTTCGATACAGATTGCTCAAAGCGCAGTACAGCAATGCACGGTAGCAGCATAGGATCTTTCAGAATTACCGAGTCATCAACCAGTATCCCAGGTGAAGCATGAAAAAATAAATAGCTTTTTGGCACGAATCAGTTGCGATCCTTCTTGGCCGTGTCCTTCGTGAGTACCCATACAACATCTGCAGGGCTAGTGGAAACATGCCAAAAACCTGCAACTACTGCTTCACATTAGTAAGGCCGCGGGAGGTTGAAGCAGAACCCAATCTCTCGTGTTCAATGTCAACATTTACTGTCCCTGCATTGTGACTCTTCATGCCTGTCCGCCGGCCCGCTGGACTCCACACTGTAGAGAACGCAAAGGTCTTCTTTGCTGTCCCTGTCCAGCAAATGCTGCGCGGATTTCTAAAGAGTCTGCGCACAAACCACAAAAGCAACCATGTTCACACCCTGCCTCACGCTCTTGGCTGCCAGTACTTTGCCAAACTTCGGTGGATTCAATGTTCCGATGCTCTGTGAGAAAACGTAGTCCTTGCCGCGTAAACTTACCCGTCAACTTGGCTCTCTGGACGACAGGATCTCTCACACGACAAACACGCTGCTGCCATGCTTCGCGAAGTCCATGAGGACGTGTTCCGCTATATGTGTCGCGCTGTTGCTGAACACAGTCCCAATATGACCCTAGGCTGCTATCATGCCACACCGGAATACGGGTGGTTTCATGCTTTGCCGCTTCTGACAATTTCAGTCCAGATGCAGCATGACGCATGATGCGTGCGCAAACCCTCACTCCATGGTTGTCAAGTCCTTCAGCAAGGCCTCCAGCTTGGGGACGTCAACATCCTCGCAGAACTTCACATGTTCTCGACAAGCCTTCCTGCAGCTCTCTTCTTTTGGCATCAGCTCACGCACAGACAAAGCCCTCTTGAAGATCCAGAGAGAACACCAACCCGTTTACCAGGCCCCTGCTCATGAAGGATGTCACGCATCAGAGGCAGAGTGCTCTCCGAGCATGCTGCCCGGATGGCCCCAAGCCCGTCCTTGTCAAATTCACCGGTCGCTGGCTGGTCGGATGCCGGCACTGAAAGGGTGGGCAAGAGCTCGACCTTTATTGAGACAACTGAGACAACCCTGCGCCAACATGATGCGTGAAGGCTTTGCTCTTTTCGATTCACAGATGCCCTCGGCCTTCTCGGCAGTGTCGCTCATGGCGACCCGGCACAAGGAGCTAGCCGATCGTATGCCTGTGCAACTTGTCATGCATCGTGGTTTCCAGTTCCGAAGCTTGCATCTTGCTTCACACATGTGATGCTTTCTTAGCTTGAACCAGAACGCAACGAGGCTTCGGGCTTGATAGAGCTACCAGCACCAGTCGCAAGGGCTGAGGGGTCTGAACCTTAACCCCATCGTGTGCGCGCAGAAATGCACTGGCTTGTGCGAAGGAGCGAACACGTGTCGACAGCGTTTGGTTTCGAGGAGGTAGGCGACGAGTGGCAGCATATTGATCGAGGTGCATGTTTAATGAAAGAGAACCTGATTTGTTTGCTACGCACAGCATGGCTAGAGCAGGAGACTGCAAATGATGGGGCAACAATCTTTTGATCGTGTGCGAGCATCGACATGGCACAGGAGGTGTGCGCTGAATGCTATAGACTCACCAAAAGGACCTTCAGGATCACGACCGCCAGCTAGTGAGCTAGTGGTTTTGTTGCGGGAAAGCTGGCATGGCCTGGCATTTTTTTGATGGGATTGCAACGAGGTCGGCACCGCAGGTGACCGAACATGAACGGATGATCCATGGCATCTTGCTTCAAGAGCCCGGAGCCATACCGTAAGCGCATGTGCGAGTAGAACAAAAAAAAAGGAAACCGGAAGCCCAAGCTTCGACAGTTTCAAAGGTACCGTCGGAGCTGCTCAAAGGCCCCTGCTCAGTCCTCCTGATGCCTACAACAGTTGCAACATGCCAGAAGACAAAGGATCGGAAAAGGCGCTTTACAAGGTGCAGAAGCCTGTTTGGGTCATGGATGAACTTCCAGTGAAGCTGCTTCGCCTAGCCGTTGCCGTTCAGGGCATGAAGCTGCTCACACAACAGCGCGCTGCACGCACTTGCACTACGTTCGCTGCCTTCTCGGAGTCAAACTTTTGGCGGCATTCTGGGCCTAGGCCATGCAAGCTCCGTGCGACACATCTTACTGTTCTCATGACCGTGCAAACTGAGGCCCACGACACTGGAAGGTGCCGGTCATCTTGATGCCAACCTGCACTCAACCCCATTGTGCAGCCGCCAAACTCAACATTCGTGCTAGCAGCCACGCTCTGAGGAGTGAGCGTTGGTCGTGGTTCCGTCGCCAGACTTCGCGGCATCGCTGATCTCCCTGAGGCAGCAAACCACAGCAGTGCAATTTTTGACATCCACTCGCAAGGCCCCGCGCATTGTCTCGGGCATGATGCCTTTCGACAGCATGAAATCGGACGCTGAGCAAGGTTTGGCTAGGCAAAAACCGCAAGCCTTCTCCAACTCCAGCAAGCAATCGCGTGTGTTAGATGCCCCTACGCTCCAAATGGCTGTGGTATGCTTGGGCGTGCTCAGCCTTACTTCCGGCTGCTTCGATCGAATGTGATAAAGCAAGCGGGCTTCCGTCAGAGCACATGCGAAAAAACCCCACATGACAAACAAAGCTAAACGACGGCGAAATTTGAAAAAAGTACCAACACTTCACCACACATCTCACTTAATCACAATCACCAAGCAATGTGGGGCCATCATGTTTGGCCGTTTCCCCTGCTCCCAAGTCATGAGCTGACTTGCCAATTCCACACCAAAAACAGCCCCTTGGCAACGTAAGAACGTGCACGTTGTTACAGACAGCGCAAGCTGTGCGAAACGACGCATTCCAACGTACATATTCGCTGTACCGTTGGTGCGAAGACTCGATTGACTCAATCCAACAAATATGAGCTTCCACAAGGTTGGCCTGTTTGTATGACAGAATTCCAATGGAAATACTTGTCTAAATGGAAAAGCTGACGGCCTTTCCAAAATGTGTTTTTGGCCATGTTTCACAAGCAATCGCAAGCATGCAAACGTGAGATTTTGTTTTTTCACTGACAACGCAACATTCTTGCTTCGTCCTTTTTTGACGTCAGTGAAAGCAACTGACCTCGGCTCAAGGATCGCTTGCCAATTTTGCCGGCGTTAGCCGAAAAAACCGGCTCAAACTCCACAAATGTGCAATGGCGGCATAAAAGCTGCTCAGTTCCACTTTTCCAAGAGTGAAGCAATGCCACATTGTGATGCGGGAACACAAAACCCGCTTTCAAGCAAGACGGACATGCAATAGCCACCTTTTCACTTGCTGTGAATGAAGCGCAACAGCCGCATTAAGTGCATGTCCAACCTCCAACACCCGGGTTTGGGTTTCGGCCTCAACTGGTCAACTCCAACCCCAACTCTGGGTTTCGGAGTTGGGATTAACCCAACCTCAACTCCGGGCTTTGGAGTTGGGGTTTGGGTCAACTCTAACAACTCAACCCCAACTCCAACCCGAAACCACGGGTGACTTTTTTTTGGGCGTCTGCGGGCCACTAGAACTTGTGGGAACTGCAACCGCAACTGAAACAAATGTGCGCAATTCTTTTTTTGTACATGTTTTTTTGGTTTCTGGGGAGACTCTTGAGGCGCACACGTTTTCGAAGGGTTTTTCGGTCTCGAACATGAACCCGTCAAATCTGTCAAAATGAAGGTCGAAACAAGGTGTAGGATACTCTGGAGGCTCCCACATGAGTTTGCCTTGTGCAGCTTGCACTTTCGGCTTGCTTTCCAGTGTGTTTTCCGCAAAAAACGTTAAACCGAACACACAACATCAAACGTGCATTTCTGGTCGGGACGTTTAGGTGGTTTTGCTGACGGTAAGACCTGAAGTACAAGCAAAGATTCAGTTTCTCTCGCCTGCAGATAGAGTCCACTTGCATTTGCATCAAGTTCCCACTGAGGTGGCTTGACCTCCCAGCATGCCAGAAAAGAGCATGCCGTCTTCGAGCTCATATCTGAACAACTGGAAACACCGTTGCAAAAGATGTAGACCCAACTACCAGGCGACTGGCGCCCAAACAGCGCCGTGACAGTCGCAAAAACTCTTTCCGACCATTATCACCCGCAGACTGAAACCCACACTACGACTGAGACTTTTTACCTCCAAGAGAACGAGACCAAACAACCCTCCCAAAAGAAAAACTCAAAGACCCAAAAAAAGCAATTACGAAAGCAATGTTTTGGTCAGCTGAGATGCAACCGCGACTTTCTGCGCGGATTTCCTGATGGGTTTGACGTCTCGTCGACTACACCTGTAGCACTCAGTCTCTACAAACAAGCGAAACAAACACAAACTACAAAACTACAAACTACAAACTGGTAAAGCGGTGAAACAGTTCGCGAAGCTCTACAAGGGGCTGCGGCGCACAGGCTTTGCCGGTGTTAGCCGTTCGGCAAAATCTACGGAGCCTCAGCGACGGTCCGGAGCAATAAAGAGCCGTCGCTTTGAGCTGCTCAAAACAAAGATGGAGCCAAGACTCCAGCAGCCGTTCCAGTCTCGTTAGACAACGAACAGCCCCTGTGTTTTGATCCGTCGCGCGTGCACACCAAAATCCAAAAGTCCAAAACCCACTGCAACGTGAGCGGCCAGCCACAGATCTCGAAGTGGCTAAACTGTCCGCTCGAAGCTTTCTATTCACGCAATGCTTTCAGATCCCATGCATGCGCATCGACTCAAAACACTTCAACTTCACAAAGTGCAGTACGCGATCTCACTTGATGCACGCGGCGTGCACCCGCACCACTTGTCCGGTCCGTCCGTGCTGTGACAAGCAACTTGGTCGCTGGATGCCGATACTCGCGACGCCCTCCGCGCTCAACACTTTGTAAAACTTGCGTATTGGGCTCTTTTCTCACAAAGCGGATTGGCGTGAGTCCCTCTTAAAAGAATGAAACCACAACGAGCCCAAACAAACTCTTCCGAGAACAACACTCGGACAGAAGACTTCGTTCGCGCACAGTTCCAGCTGCGATTTTGTGCTGCCTCGGCTTCATCGAGAATGCCGGTGGCATCCCTGCAGCTGAGCGGCTTTCAGACTGGTCAAGAACAATGTGAACCAATGCACTGCAGAGCTCGAGGCTGGAGCTGAGTTGAAACGACAGGCGCCCATGTTGCCGATCGCTGCAGTTGTTTCGCTGGAATTGATCGTTGTCAACCTGGATGCAGACTTGTTTGTGCGAGATTTTGCTTGTAAGCTTTTAAAAAGCTCTGGACTGCTTGTCGCACCAGTGACTTGTTTGGTTCTGCTCGCATAAAGGTTAGTAGGCCAGGCTCTTCGAATCTTCGTCAGCTGTGACGCAGCAACGGTGATCGCTCGGGCGTGCGCCAGATGATGGCAGACACCTCCAGACAGTGGCTTTGACCAAATCTGTTAGGCTGCTCCGTGTGCCAATCAAAATGGAGGCCAATGGGCGCTTGCGGAAGAGTTTCTGTTCGACGCAGGGTGCTTGCGTTTCAGAAGCGAACATTCGAAGCGTAACTGGCTGGTGTCTCCACTCGCCAGTGTAGGTGTGCCACGTGAACAGAGAGACTTTGTGCGCTGGCATGCTGCGTCGTTTTGCAACTGCAAAAGGCAGCTTGGCCTGGCTGAGAACGCCAAGTTGTGCAGTGCGGGTGTTGACGACTTGCTCGACTTCCTGCAGTCGCAAGAGTATGCCGATGGTGTAGGCAAGCCCAAGAGTGAGACGTGGAAAGAAAGCAAAGTGAGTCCTGCTCAAGTGAGCAACCGAGTACCGCACTCGGCATCCTTTCAAGTCACAACAATCTTGCACAAGTCCCACCGCCACAAGGGCCTCCACACCATGCAGAAGGCTATGGGCTGGCACACTGTCAGACTAGTGCCTGATAGGATTCCGTTTCCTGATGACCACAGTACCGGTGCACAGATTGAGAGCCAGTGTTCGAACTGCAGATTCGAACACCAGTGTTCGACTCACCGAAGTAACAACACCGCCGCAGCCAGACAACGTGGCCGGCGCTCCCGAGCGATCCGCCATTGCCCGCCATTCCTGCTGCACATCCGACTGCTGATAAAGAAGCTCCATACGACATTTCCGTGGTCGGCAAGAGACATTTCCGCCGCTTGTACCGAAAGAGCGGGTGTGGCACTGTTCCTGGTGGTCTGCGCGAGATGATCCCTTTGCAGCACCTGAGGGGAGCGGAATACGATTTTGCCTGCAAGCATTCTGTGGAGGGCCGACCTCGCGAAGCCAGAATTGCTTGTGTTTTGGCGGGCCTCAAAATGGGGTCGCCCGACAGCCCCATAACTGTGCAGCTTTAAGATCGTACAAAGACTGGGAATTTTTGCCAGAGGTGACTCTAGCATTTCTGAACAGAGCAGATCAAGCCATGCAGAGTTATGGTATCGAGAAGGTGGGCCGGAACAGATCATACAAGAGTGGCGGAATTTTCTGGAAGGTATCTCCACCCTCATGCACGACATGGGCTCACCGCTCTCGCCAGATTTTTTTTGCTCTTTTCAGCAGAGACCCATTTTGCAACATTCTTTGCCTCTGCCTGATTGCTGTTGCTAGACCAGTGGTTGCGTTCCCTCAAAAGACCGAACTGCACTTTTCGCTGTTCTCGGAGATTGCACCTCTGCCTCAATTTCTTTTTGCTCTCCGAGTCAGTTCCATCGTCAAATCGGATCTTTTTTTTTTTGCTTCATGGTTGCGTGTGTCTTTGCGCAGAATGGTTGCATCCGCTGTCACAAACTCAAGAAAAAGATCGAGTGCTGCGCACTCTGTTTTTCTTGTTAATGGACTTCTGAGAGCTGTGAAGTGCCACGGCCTCGCCTGTGCAAGGTTGGAGTTAGGGTTCTCCCAGAAGGTACCTGTGCTTGAGAAAGCATCGACATTGACCTGTTTGGACCAGATGCTGTTTGTCCCATGAGTCCGCCTGCAGCTCAAAAGAGGAAGTGTTCTGGCTGCTGTGTCTGGAACGTGTTCGGCCACCAGTGCCGCCGACGTCCATTTTCGGTGCGGACCAACTGCAGCACACGCGGCCCCAAAGGCGGGGTCGAACAACTTGGCAATTTTGGCTTCGCTTGAGTGGCCCCCCTCTGTTCTCTCATGTCTATCACTTCCACAGGCAAGCTGTCTGTTGGAAATTCTTGTTGGAGAACGATTTTTCCACACTGGATGCTTGCCTGTGGGCGAGTCGCCTTGATGTAGCAGTGTGGAACGCACGGGCTTGGGCTTGGGCCCCAAAATGAGGAATTCGCGACCCCAAAATAGGGGCCGCCAAGCGGCCCCGATTTTGGGGTCCTCTGGTTGCCAGTCAAAATATGTTGAAGGAGGTTGACTGGATTTCGCGGCTCCTTTTCTGGGGCCGCGAGACGGCCCCATTTTTGGGGTCGCAAGTTTGATTCCTGCACCCACAGCGGCTGAATCTCGTCAGCTGCGCATGTCATTGATTGTATTGACTTTGGGGAGCGTCTGGTGGAGGACCGTTTGGAAGGTCGGAACTTGTCCAAAGCAGCTGTGTTGCTCGCCCTTAATAGTGCTGCAGCCAGCGGAATGCAACTGTGGAGGGCCGACCTCGCGAAGCCAGAATTGCTTGTGTTTTGCGGGCCTTA